ACACCCAATCCGCTGTGCTATCGTTCCAGCCCCTTAGTGAGGCATTCTTTACATTACAATGTCTCAAGAAAAACCAGAGAATAAAATTTTAGGATGAATATTGTTAAGGTTTGGAAATCTTTTCTTCTAATTATCCCATAATAGTCTCTTAAAATGTGAAAAATACAACATTTAAAATATTTAACACATATAACAAAAGCTGTTTTCTTTAAAATGCTAACTTCCCAACTTTGCAACTCCGATGTCATATTCTCAGCCTTATAGTGGGAGAAAGTAATGGGTGGGAAGAAGAAAATGCTTTAGGAAAGAAGAAATAAAGATAGAAACAAAAAACAAAAACTAAGAACAAAATCCCTTAAAAACCTTAAAAGCTTGTTTGTTTGAAGAAGTTTCTTTTAAGTAATTTTTTTTGTCACTTTGTACCATATATATGAGAGTTCCAGTTCTAGTGGCAATAGGATTGTAACTATCTCTAAAACAGGATTCAGGGCAGGTGTTGGGGTGGAGATGGGGGTCGGGGCAGGGCAATATGGTACAGTGGGGAAGGGGCTGCCTTGCTCACAGCTGGCCCAAGTTTGATTCCCACCACCACTTATGGTCCCCCAAGCAATGGTCTCTGAGCACAAAACCAGGAGTAAACCCTGGGTTCGGCCCGCATACATCCCCCTGGCATCCTCTACCACCACCACCACCACCACCCGCCACCCCCAAATAAAAGGACTGGACAGTCACGCAAATGTTTCTATACTTGAGAGTCTGTTGTCTTCAACTCACTCTGGAAAGAGAAAACAGAAATCACACAGGATTTTATTTGGAGGTGTCGGGGATTAAGGTAAAAAAGAGCTTTCATACTGAGAAGAATTTTTACAGAATCACAAACATTCTTTTTTTTTTCTTTTTGGGTCACACCCCACGATGCACAAGGGTTGCTCCTGGCTCTTGCACTCAAGAATTACTCCTGGCGGTGCTCGGGGGACCAGATGGGATGCTGGGAATCGAAACCAGGTCGGCCAGAACAAGACCAAACACCCTACCCTCTATGCTATAGCTCTAGTCCCAATCACAATCATTCTTCACAGAAGAATTTTTATAAGACATTAAGGAAGCAACAACTAAAAATGTGTTGTTACTGTCCACAAGGAGTCACGTCCATAGCCAGAAGTCTAAGATCCAGAAATATCTATGACAGCAAGAAGAGCCAATCTCATGCGGAAGGGGTACAGGGAGTGGCCAGACATGAATGCCCTTCTGCATCTCTGACGGCCACACCATGGGGTGCTGGGGAGGCCAAGGCTGGCTTAACCGCAGGCTAAGCGCCAGGCCCTGGGGAACTGAACAGCACTAAGCAGAGCCCAGGGAGGCTGAAATAAGACACAGGAGTTTAATCCAAGTTCGGGTCCCTCAGCACTTCCTAGCTAAGTAATTTGGCACTTAGAGTGTCCAGAAATACACTAAAAAATGGCACCGGCTAAATGGAAAGGATATTGGAGGCTGGAGAGATAGAACAGTGGGTAGGGCGTTTGCCCTGCATGCAGCCGACCTGGGTTCAGTTCCCAGCATCCCATATGAGCACTGCCCCAGAACACTGCCAGGAGTAACTCCTGAGTGCAGAGCCAGGAGTAACCCCTGTGCATCGCCAGCTGTGACCCAAAAAGCAAAAAATAAATAAATAAATATTTAAATATTTTAAAATAAATAAATAAATAAATAAATGGAAAGGTATTAAGGTATTAAATCAAGGGTTAATAGAAATCCTTGCAAAAGCCAACAAACAGAAAACAAGAGGTAAATTCAACAGAAAAAAAAATGGAGTCAGATGAAAATGACAGTGATTGAATTTAAAATATTATGTGTGGAAAATTCAAGGAATAATTCTAGGGCAAATCGTTGGCAGAAGTCCCCCTTTTTTTTTCCACAAACTAGGACTGTAGTAGTTTGCGATCTGAAAAACAAATTTAAATTGCATGCGAAAGCCCTTAAAACGGAAGATAGCTGGAGGAAGAGGCAAACACACAAAATCCACCAGTCCCAAATTGCAGCTTCTCTCTGACTATATAAATCCAGTCTTTCACATTTCCGCCTTCTGTCTCTCTGCCTAAAAATGTTCTGATGTTAAGGACTGAGAGTTACCTTGAACTGATTCCTGCATACCTAGTGGCTAGTATTTACCCTTTCGTGGGTTTTGCCCTTATCCACCCCAGCTGGAGTTTCATGCTAATTCTATAATTGGTAACTTGAGGTCCATGAGATATCTTCCTCTGAATTGTTACACTGCTTTGTGTTTTTATTTTGTATTATTACTTTGTATATTATTACTGTGTTTGGCATATCAAATACGTCACGGGGAGCTTGCCTGGCTCTGCCGTGCGGGCGAGATACTCTCGGTAGCTTGCTGGGCTCTCTGAGAGGGCCGAAGGAATTGAACTAGGGTCAGCCAAGTTGGCTGCTTTTGTGTATTTTGTAATCATCCACTATTAAAAAAAAGCTTTGAGACCAGTGAGGAATACTAAATAAAGAACAATATTATAGATACAACATTTAAGTTATCTGTGTCCAATTTCTTTATTCTTGGTGGAAAAATAAAAATAATCTTACAGGTATATATAACATTAATGTTAAAATTCTTAAAGAATTAAAATATGAAAAAAATTGGTTAAGATTTAGGAAGATTTGGGGAGGATTTCTTTCCCCATTGCTACCTTCATGGAGGAGTTACTGAGCAATAAAAATAAAAACAAGTAATCTTCATAAAAGGGTGAATCATACAAATGATATCTAATTGTCAATGGGCATATTCTGATAAAATTAAGTCTTTCTATTCTGCCCAGTTTAACAAATTTTCAGACTCATTTACCATGCTAGAGAATTTGGGAGACATGGTAAGTTTAATGGGAAAGATAATAAAATTCCATTTTACACATATTGAGGTACTGTAGTCAACCAAGTGCATATTATAGAGTAGAAAAAAGTGTGAATTGGTTGCTGAGGGGGGGTTGACTCAAAAAGCTCTAGCATATACTTTACATCCCAGATGCCTGTGTTCAATCCCTGAGCCCTAAACCCCACTGCCTAAGACCCAAAAGCAAAGTACAAGTTCAAGATATAGTTTGCAAGTGCTCTCATTAAAGTTGAAACCATGACAGGCTAGGACCATACACACTGCAGTGGGTAGGGGTTTTTGCCTTGCACATGACAGGTTCTATCCCTGAGCCCAGCCAGGAGTGATCCCTGAGTGCAGAGCCTGGAGGAAGCCCTGCAAACCACTGGATGTGACAAAAAATAAAAATCAAAACCGTGGTATAGTAAAGGCAATTTCACCAAACTAATGTAACTGAACATAGTTGCTTATCTGAATAATATAAATGTGGTAGAAGTAATTTGTCAAATCAATGCTAGCATTACTACTGATAAAAAATAAGCAAACTTTTTCAAATTAATTTTCATATGTTTATATGTTTCTTTTTTGCTACACTCAACTGTCCTCAGATGTTCCTCCTGTCTTGGTGCTTGGGGGTCTTTACAGATGATGCTCAGGAGACGATGTGCTACCCAGGATCAAACATGGGTCAGCCTCAAGCAAAATAAACACCTTACCTCCTGAACTGTCACTGGGGGGCATGTTTGCATCCTTAAAGAGTCTAAGCAGCATTCTGGGAAAAAAACGTTTTTAAACCTCTGGAGTAGATCACTCTTCCAGAAGAAAGGTGCTTTGACCAACTCTTAGGATCTCTATGGAAACTGCTCCTGTATTCCTGGTCTCATTCATTCTGTGATTGCCAGGATTAATTTTCTCTATGTTTACAAATATGAAAAGTCATAAGCCATCTTGTAAAGAAAAATAATTTTTTCTTTTCACCACAACTGAGAATATTTACCATTTTTGTGCTCCTGTTTTTTAAATGAAGTAAGAATTTAATATCATAATCAACAAACATAGAGAAGCACACTTGAATTAACACTCTTTTCTTCAATGACGACCACGCCCTGAAGTGCAGACTTGAGAGTTCAGTATGAGGAGCCGTGGAGTGATGGGGATCAAACTCAGGAACTTGTACATGCAGGGCATGGGCTCTGTCGTTGGAACTATCTGGTCAGTCTAGGATAATAGATCTTAACGTCTATGATGAATTTACGAAGGTTTGGAAAGAAATGAAATCATGCTGGTCACGGTTTCATTTGTTTTGCAATTTAACCAGCATGACCATTTCTTCATCTCAATACATTTTCATCATCAGTTTTAATGATTGATAAAGGAATCATAATTAATATACTAAAACTGTTTTTCAGCACATCATTATGAAGTTTTAGTACTTCCAGTCAATCATTTCTTAAAGTGTGATCCAAATACTATTTGTCAAAGAATCAGCAATAGTGTTATTTTGGTAATGGAAATGAAGGGATCCATCCCGAACTTAAGAAATCAGAATGTCAAGGTATGAACCCAGACATATGCACTTGTTAAATAGTTCCTGCATACAGTTTTATTCTCCTAAGTTTAAAAATCACTCATTTGGGAGCTGGAGCCTTAATATAGCAGGTAGGGTGCTTGTCTTTCAAGCAACCCTTCTAAGTTTGACCGCTGGTACCCTATATATCTCCTGGGTCCTGAAAGAGTGAGTCTTGAGCATCTCCAGGTATGAGCACTGTAGCACTGTTCTCCCATTGTTCATCGATTTAAATGAGCGGGCACCAGTGACATCTCCATTGTGAGACTCCTTGTTACTGTTTTTGGCATATTGAAGCATCATGGGGAGCTTGCCAAGCTCTGCCATGCGGGCAGTATACTCTCAGTAGCTTGCCAGTCTCTCCAAGAGGGACAGAGGAATCTAATCCTGGTCGACTGCATTCAAGGCAAACACCCTACCCTCTGTACTATTGCTCCAGGTGTGACCAAGGTGGGGAAATGCATCACTTGTTTATTTTTGAAGAGTAACTATTTTCTCCAATACCTCACAATATTTATTTTCTTGAATTTTTCTACTCTCTAATTTTTATCTTAGGGGACAACAATGGATGGTCAGTGGAATTTGACCGATACTTTACCACTTACTACAAAATCACTTCTCAGTATCCCTTTGAGACACAAACATCTGAATGCTGTAAGTAATCACAGGAAATGAGCTGTGTTCTTTATAAGCTTATGACACCATGTTTTCAGTAACTATATCCAATATATTTTGAAAAGTTTAGGTATAGTTTTCTAGTTTCAAACTCGGTTAGACAGCCATAGTTTGAGAATTTTATTTAAAAATGACTCAAGTTCTTAAGCGCAAAAATAATAAATTATGTCAGGTATTGTTGTGAACAAAACTATTGACCTTCATTCAGGGCTACTATTTGCCATGCCTCCTTTTTATAGCCATGATAAGCTTTGATATAAAGGAAGCGGTGAAATAAAAGTTGTTTGAAGATTGTGTTTGCAAGTGAAAAATCTTCTGGGGTGTAAGCTATATTTCAGATTTTTGTTTTTCCACTTGTGGGAGATGGGGAGCTAGATTAGCCCCAGGTTCAATTATGAGGTGCTTTCTGTTCGTTCACTTAAACAGCATAGACTGGAGGAAGGGATGCTAAGTGATTTCCTTTCTGAGAAGAGTCAAAATCAGGTTAAAGTTCTCTGCTTTTGATCTACAAAAGTCTTATACTGAAAATTTACATAAACATGACATCTTCATCTTTTAAGCTGCTTTGATCTACAAAAGTCTTACCCTGAAAATTTGCAAAAAACACAAGTATAGTAACATTGGAAATTTACTCTATCCAATTTTTATCAGAAAGAGCTATGTAAATTGTATCCTTTAAAATAGTTGATTGGTATTATAATAAATATACTTTTGTCCCATGGAATGTTCAGTTTCAGCCTAGTTTTCCAAAATCTTGACTAAAATAAATCAGAAATTGGGGTTCGGTACTATAATCTTCCCTCCATATTCTACTGTAAATGGCAAAATACAGCTTTTCAAATACTTTATTTGACTTTACTATTCAAGAGAAACATAGGTTTTTTTTTAAAAAAAGTCAGTGTTCTACAATTTGAGGGGATACTCAGGGTACCCAATAATCTTTCTCCACCTTATACATCTCTTAAAATACAGAGAAAAAATTACTTGGTAATTAAAAACATAAAAATGCTAGGGAAAGAAAATAGTTAAACTACTAATATATTGCAAAATATGAGCTTCACCATAATATGTTAAATATATGCATTTTCAGTTTTGCTGTGTATTCTTTTCATTTATTAATTTTAAATTTTACCTTTTTATTCTTCACCTTGTTTGCAAAAATATTTTTTGGCATTTTACAATAAAAATCTGATTGTTAACAGACTTAAACCATCAACATGACAAAAAAAAACCTCAATAGTGAATTGAAAAGGGAATGGGGAAGAAAAATAATATAATGAAATCTTCACTAATAAAGTTCACACATCCAAAACTTAGTTCTGAATTTCTGGTCACCCAGTCAAGAAGGGAAAATAATGACTATGTAACCATGGAAATCAAAAACAAACAAATGGGGGAGGGTTATTACTTTAAGTCACTAAGAGAAATAAATTTTTGCCTGATCTGAAGTCCAGGAGAACTTTGTCACAAATCTAATTACATGAAGGAATGGAGTTACACAATGAGTGATGTATAAAAAATGCAGAGATAATTTTCACCATTATTTATTAAATAACAAACATATCATTTTTAAAGAGTTATGCTTTAAACCTAATTGAAGGAGTGGTGGTAATAATTAAATATGTTTCCCAAACTTAAAAGCTGCATACAATGGAATGAAACTAAAAAATAAAATGTGAGGTTTCTGCTGCTTTGCTTATTTGAATTAGGTTATTGTTTAAGGATGTATTGAAAATTAAACTGAAATGACTTATAATAATTTTTGGCTGGGTGAAAGAATATAATATACTTACTTTTACAAGTTACATTTCAAGACAATATGATGGAAGATGCTATATTTAACATGAATCAATATATTCACAAGTTTAATTTTATTAACATGAATCAATATATTCACAAGTTTAATTTTAGAGATTGAAGAAGTATAAAGGTTTGGAAAGAGTTGTTGATTATAATTGCACCACTTGGAACCTACCAGTGTTTACTGCTGGTACTTTTTTTAAAATTATAAACAACTCTAAGGAAATAGTTCAGGTGGTTGAGCACAATGCCAGCATGTGAGGGTGGAATCCTGAGTTTGGTCCCCAGAACCACACACCCCAACCAATCAGCATCACACAACCAGGCCATGCATTTCAGGGAGTGACCCTGGATCCCTCAGCTCCCCTGAGTGTGCTCACTATAAAAAGTGGAGAAAAAATACAAATATTTTGTTTAGCAGAATAATTTCTATTACTATGGTGAGCTTTTGTCACAACAATAAAATTTCTGTTTATAGGTTCATAACCTGGCCAGGAAATTTTGCTTCAGGCAAATACAGGGTCTGATTATCATCAAAATATCATCCTTTGTGATTGAAAAAAAGTGTCTGGAAATTTTTTTAAATATCCTGGGAATAATAATACAAACATTTTTATGATCTTTTAATTAGCATTTTGACATAATCAGGCATCTGTGTTATGTTATGTAAGTGTACTGCAATGTATATTTAAGTGATATAGCTTTTCAAAATTCTTTAATTTTGGAAAACTTAAGAGATTTAAGCATTAAGGAATTTTTCTTTTTTTTAAGTTCCCCTCTAAAAGAAAGCCATATAAGTAATTATATGAATTATCTTATTTAAGTAATTATATGAATTATCTTATTTAAGCTCTATCAATAGACAAAAACACACTAGAATCAATACTAATTTCACTGTCTTCCATGTTACCTTCTTTATTCTCTCTTTCTCTATCTCTTTCAGGACCTTTATCACCTAACTAACCTTTGCCCCCACCCCCATGCCCACATATAAGCACTCACTCATCTTAAACTGGACTTTAAGAGATGGAATTAGTTTTCAGAGAACCATAAACACCATGATTGCTTACACCTATAAAACTGTTTAAAAATTTTTGGCAGAAACTGTTACAGAACCCAAATTACAACCTTGATGTCTAGATGTCTCCTGTTCTTATAAAGGAGAATGCAGTGGTTTGAGAGAAGGAATATCCATCACTCATTATCTGAGCAACATGGTACTAATATTTCAGAGCCAAGTGCGCTCAAGAGTATTAATCCATCAGTTTTGACACAGGAATCTTCTATTTCCTGTAAAACACAAATCACTATCTAGAAGCCTTACTATAAAGATTTTTTAAGAAGTTTGCAAGCAAAATCTTCTCATAAAAAAAAATTTTGGGTCCTAAGCTCTTTTAAAATCTTTTCAGTTAGCTATTATCATTTTAAACATCGATAATTCTATATAAAACATGGTATGTCTGGATTCTTCAAGGAAGTTGGTTGACTTGGCTTCTCAGATTCCTATTTTAATATTGTGACACAATGGAGAAACAATCTGGACAATGGTCTACACCTTGTTTGCCTGTTTCCTGTAGAGGTTTGTGTTTGTCAGCTCACCCATGCATGTTAAGTTTCTAAAGGCTGAAAAGCCCTCTTCATCATTCCCAGTAGTTGTCCTTTCCTATCAAAGCAGAAAGCAAACTCGCTACTAAAGAATATTTTTGTTTTCTTCTTTAGCTATATAAACACATCATTTATCTAGAACAGGTATTTAATTGGAATTAGAAACACCCAGTCACATCTTTAACGCCATCACTACAATCACAAGAGGACCAAATCTGTACATCCCATTCTCTTACTCTGTACCTTTCAGTGAGCTTGAATAACCACACAGTTTTGAGTTTTCCAAGGAAAATAAAAGTCTGTCACCATTAAAGTATAGTGCTTGGATCTCCTCTTCCTCAGCAGATAACCTGACATAGTTCTCCACAAAGGTTTGGTTATGCCATTTAACACCCGATTCCTAAGAAGAGCCTTCATTATAGACATTAGAGTTTCTCTCACTAGCTTGTCACCCTTGGATATAGTTGCTCTTTGAGGGTGAGTAAAAGCAGAATACTTCATTTTGGAACAAATGGAGAACAGTCTGCTATTTTAAAAAAATGCATGGGCTGGTAAGTGTGTTTATTTCCTTATCTTAATGTTGTAGCATCATTTTAACAGAAAATGAAAAGCTAACTTTGAAACCTTAAGTTAAAGCTTTGCCCAAATTGTTTAGGTAAGACATGACTTGCCTTTGTACTTAATAATTTTCTCATAGATTTTCATTTCTTTCTTTTCATCACCCCCCTCTTCCTCACCCCTCACTGTCCCCATTCCTTACTGCTCCCTCTTTATTCAGTGCTCGGGTCTGTGCCAGTGCAATGTCTTTGCCAAGGTTTAGAAATTGCCTGTGATAAGACCAAGTTACGAGCTATTCCATCAGTTTCTTCAAATGTGACTATAATGTAAGTAAGAAAAGAATGGCTTCATTTTGACAGCCAGAACGGCATCTACAAATATCATGTCATTAATAAGTTTTTGTCATTATTAGTACTGTATTTTATTCAAAATTATTGTTACATTGTTCCTTGGTCAATTAGAATAATTGATGATATTTATTTTGTATTTATTAAAGTCTAAACCCTACTGTAGGAATTTAAAGAAATTCTTTAAATTTCCTTTTTAGCAGTTCTTTGAAGAACCAGTATCAACCCATTTTGTCTAAATAAATGGTGCCACCAGTTATAATTATATGTGCTAGTTAGGAAAGAAAGCATAACCAATTGAACTGCTATGTAGATCAGGATTTCTTAAATTCTCTCATTTATGTTTCTTTTTGACCTAAAAATTTTTATAAGAAACTTGGTATACAAATCAGAAATATATAGACACTAAATCATGAATTTATTTTATAGCAAACATTTTGTAAATCCCCAAACATTAAATTAATTATCCACAGTTTAAGAAATTAGTTTATAGAGCTTTATTGTTTCATAAAAATTTTACTTGATACTTATTTCAAAAATTCTTTGAAACTTTATTGGACATAAATTTAATCCACTAATGTGTATAAAGAAATACAGATAAAATATTTCCAGAACTTCACATATTAAACTTCCCACATTTGACATTTGACTCAGAGATATTGATGCTGGTTTTTTCCTTAATAACACTTGCGTAGAAAAAAATTATGCTCATTATAGAAGTTTGTTGATACAGCACTAATTTGAATCTTTCAGAAAAATCAGCAATATATACATCAACAATACATATTTGACTAAAACTTTTAAAAGAAGTAGAGCATAGATATTTTCAAACATTATTATTATTTCTCTTATTTTTTATCAAGATTTTTGGGAAACTTTGTGGTTCTCACTTTGAGATTATAAGGACAAAAATAAAACAAAAATCTTTTAAATTTACCAAGGTTTACAAATCTCGATTTTTTTAAAACAATATCACTTAACACTGCAACTCGTATGCATCACATCTATGAATTATGGGAAAGAATCAAAACTAGAATTTCTGTATATAAAGTTACCATCAAATTAGCAGAATCTGGGAAATTTACCCAATTGATAGTAATCTGAGGAATTTACCCAAATAGATAATAAATTGAGAATATAAAACAGGTAAGCCACAAAAACTTCTTTTTCCAAAGAAGTGGCATTCTCACCTGAACTAAAGATACCATTCTAACCTAGCCTCAAATCATCATAGTTGCTTTAAATTACAATTAGTTCTACTAGAAAATAATAATCCCCCAAAAAAAATTCTAAGGTTTTGTGGAGAATTTTCCAGGAGTTAAATATATGCTACGTATAAAATTTTAAATGGATGCTTTCATCTTATTTTCAAAGGGAAAAATTCCTTGTATCAAGCTTTATTAGAAAATTCAAATCAAAGAATACCTTGATACTACCATTGTTATTTTACATTTTCCCAAAATTAATTTCGAATCCATTCTAAACAATGCAACTAACCTTCACTGTTTTTTATCTATTTTTAAAAAGAGAAGAAATGGTGATAGCTAGAAGAATAAATGTGAATAAGGCAATGTCTAGAGAATCCCTCACTCATTTGAGGTAATCCAATTTCATTTTAAAAATAAAACTGCTTTAAAAAAGAGAGAGAGAGAGAGAGAGAGAGAAATCTCAATAGAAGCCTACATAAGGACAGAGGTATTTCTAATGGAGAGTCATGAAAGCATGTGTGCAAACCAATGGGCTTTGAGTTATAAACCTTTTGTATAAAGAAAACTATCTGGGATGAAACGCTCATAAATAATTGACTTTAGGAAGTAAGAAAGAAAGAGAAGTACAAGAGGATTCCAAAGTTTTCATGATAAATTAAGTTGATATAAGAATGGGAAGACAGTGATGGAAAGAAAGTGGCAAAGAGTTAGACACCAATTTTCAAATGTTTTCAGTTTAAGGTTAACAAACCAGCTACCTCAGTAGCGATTTCCAGTAGGCATTTAGCAGATAATGGAATGACTCAGGAGTTTGTTTATAACACTTAAGTTTCATTTTCTTGATAAAAAACTTTCTTGTGCTTTGACAGAGCAGTTTGATTCAGATTGTCCGTTTCTACTTTCCTCTGCAGAACACAATCACCGCCCCCCACCGCCTCCTCCCCTCTCCTCTACCTTTCAGGGTTTTGTCTTGATCCATTAAATGATGTGAATTCCTCCGCCTCCTTTTTTGTTTGATACCCTAGGCTTATTTCTATGAATTAGGCTAAACAGTTTCCCTTCCCCATCCTGAAATTGTTGTAATAGAACTGAAGGTTGCAGAGTTGAGGCAAGGAGTTAGCCTTAAATGATATAAAATCTATTGTTATTCAAGGACATGCCATGAGTACCTTCTTTTCTTTGCTCTGTTTGTATTTTTTTTTTTTTTTTGCTTTTTTTTTCCCTTTTGTTCACAGCCAGCGATGCACAGGGATTACTCCTAGCTCTGCTCTCAGGAATTACTCCTGGCGGTGCTCTCCCCAGAATAATTTATATGGGATGCTGGGAATCCAATCCAGTGGACCCCATGCAAGGCAAACGCCCTACTTGCCGTGCTATAGCTCCAGCCCCGGGTACCTTATTTTCATACATAGAAAGATCTGTTTGTACTGAACCTTAAGGAAGCAATATTGCTTTTCTCTAGGGTATATGTGAAAGGCATTCAATATGTTTGGTGAATGAATGAATCAACAAGTACACTTTTAAGAACCCACCAAATTGGGGCAGAATTGATAGTACCACGTGTAGGGCCTTGCACAGACCAATCCAGGTTCAATACCCGACACCCCATTCAGTCCCCTGAAACCCGCCAAGAGTGCTCCCTCAGCACAGAACCAGAAGTAAACCCTGAACACCCCTGAATTATGGCCCCCAAACAAAACCAATAACACCAATTATATTAATATCTTTAAATAAAATCAGGTACATAGTAATTTATCCATAACACAATACGAATTAATAGAATCTAAAACAAGTGAGAGTCATTTGTAGAAAAGGAATTCCCAGTATAAGGATTTTCAAGATAATTCTCAATATAAGCCAATATTTATGAAGGAAATTGTATTTGATAATAACGCAGTAGGCAAGAGAGATTTGTTAAGTAGAGTACAATGTTTCTGAATCTTTTTTCCTTTAGTTGCTACCCCTTCCAGACCCTTTTTGGGCATTTTTCCAATGTCTTCCCTCTTAAAATTTTAATACTAAAGATTTACTAGATAACTGCTTGTGAATACCTGTTCTTTATCCATTAAGGAATTACCATTTTTTTCCTACTTAAGAACCAATTTTGGGGCTGGAGCAATAGCACAGCAGGTTGGGCATTTGCCTTGCACACGGCCGACTCAGGTTCAATTCCCAACATTCCATATGGTCCCCCGAGCACCACCAGGAGTAATTCCTGAGTGCAAAAGCCAGGAGTAACCCCTGTTCACCACCTGGTGTGACCCAAAAAGAAAAAAAAAGAACCAATTTTTTTCCCATTAGACCAATAAGACCCCTGCTAAAAGTGTATAGTCTTCTTCTACAATAATATTTCTCAAATTATATTCTAAAAATTATTCTGGGAACTCAGAAAATATTTTTCTGTAAGATTTCATGACCAGCGTTAAGCAAGACTGGTTCAAAACCAACATGACAGCAAATGCTGTTATTGCCTTTAGTGTAACACAGGGGTAATCTGAGTCCTTTCTGCCAACCTAGTATTTCCGTATCAGAGAAAGTCAACCTCTAGACAATATAGCCTATTGCTCATATATCAATGAGCATATGCAATCATATTACATAATTCTTTGATAATAAAAGTATAAAGTTTTGGAGAACCTCTACCAATTCCTTTCTTCCAGTTTGTATATGAGTCATGCAAGGGACCTCAGCTATGATCACTCTAAACTTACTGTTTTTGTTTTGTTTTCTTGGTTCATTTTGTCTTCATACATTACATTTTTAATAATAGTAAAGGATTTATTAAAAGTACATTTTAAATGCATAATTATGGATAATTTTTAGAAATTGTAATGAAATCACTTTTTGAATGAAACAGTTCACTTATACATACCACTGAACCGCTTCCCTTAGAAATAATTTTAAAGGCAATCTAAGAAGGTGGATTGTGAGCAGTGAAACATTGAGAAAAAGAAATGACTTAGGTTCTTGAATGTGCTTTAAAATGAAACCACTTTTTCATCATCGTTCAAAATATAGGATGCCTTCTTATAAGAATAAGAATTTTAAGGAGAGTATAAATGAATATGATTTTAAGGAGAATATAAATGAAAATGATTTCCCCAGTTTTATTCACTTTAAAACTTGGGAGGGGGAGGCAGGAAAACAGCTTGAAGTATTGGAGCTTATGTCTGCCATGCATAAGGCCCCAGGTTCAATCCCCAGCACCTCTCAGCCTCTCGAGTACTACTAAGGCCCTGGTGGGTCCAAGCACTGCTGAAGAGACAAAAATGATTAGTCAAAATTACAACATGGTAAACCTAAGTTTCAGAATTATTTTAAAGGGCCTTGAGCAATAGCACAGCAGGTGGGGCATTTGCCTTGCATGCCGCTGACCCAGATTTGATTCCCAGCATCCCATACGGACCTCCAGGACCTCCAGGAGTGATTCCTAAGAGCAGAGCTAGGAGTAACCCCTGAGCATCGCCTGAGCATTTTGGTGGGACCTAAAAAAAGAAAACAAAATCAACAGTCAAACTTCATTTAGATGCTACTATAAATACAGTAGGAGCTAGTGCTAAAGTAAATAATGTTTATAATTATCGATATTGTTGTGATTTGAAAGTAAAAAATAAAAAAGCTTAGAAAGAACTCAATTTTGCATTTGTTTTAGGTCACTTCAGTGGAACTTAATAAGAAAACTTCCTCCTGATGGCTTCAGGAAATACCACGAACTTCAGAAGCTGTGAGAAATAGTTTATTTTTATGTATCAAAATTAGCTAACTTTGTGTGTGTGCCTATTTCTTCCACTATGTCATTTGCAGAGAATAACCCCTCACCAGTGCTGGAATGTGAATATTTTCTGATCTATAGCACCACCTTATGTCCACATTTTTAAAAGGAGCTGGAACTTCCAATAAAAAGAAAACTGATTCAGTGATTCAATTAGTTGAAATAACATAGTAGTTTAGCATTCTGGCACCATAAACACTGAAGTAACTATTGAACTACCAATTTGTTTCAAGTAATAAGAGATCAAATGAGTCTAGTCTAGGATGAGGGATATAGCTCAGTGGCTTAGTGTATGCTTTGCACATATGATGTTTAATCTCTGGCACCAAAAAAGAAAAGAGATTTGAAAGAAAGAAAGAAAGAAAGAAAGAAAGAAAGAAAGAAAGAAAGAAAGAAAGAAAGAAAGAAAGGAAGGAAGGAAGGAAGGAAGGAAGGAAGGAAGGAAGGAAGGAAGGAAGGAAGGAAGGAAGGAAGGAAAGAAAAGGGAGCTAAAAATAATATCTAGCTGTTGGTGATACTTTTTGTTTTGATTTGTGGGTGGGGCACACCAGACAGTGCTCAGGGACTATTCCTGACAGTGTGCTGAGGGATCACAGCAAGGTATTCTGGGAGATCATGCATTACTGTAGATCAAGCCTGGCCCCTGGTGTGCAACGCATACACTCAGCTTTTTGAGCTGTCTCTCTTGCTGTTTTTGTTTGTTTGTTTGTTTTTTGTGGGTTTTTTGGTTTCTTTTTCTCTTTTTGGGTCACACCCAGTGATGCACAGGAGTTACTTCTGGTTCAGGCACTCAGGAATTACTCCTGGCCGTGCTTGGGGGACCATATGGGATGCTGGGAATTGAACCCGGGTCGGGCTGCATGCAAGGCAAACACCCTACCTGCTGTGCTATCACTCCAGCCCCTCTTACTGGTTTTTAAAAGTGTGACCTGACTCACTCTCCAGGTAACAAAGTTTATTTCTTGTTCATTGCCACAAGTAGAGATAAATAAACAAATGCATATTGAAGTTCTGCTGCATCAGTGAGAAGGTTGCATTACCTACTGTAAAACTGAATCCACATTTTTCCATTAAAAAATTAATGCATAATAAATTTAACAATAACTTATTAGTACCTATTTCTTGCATTTTAAAGAAATAGATCTTTTTGTAAAAAAAATTCTAATTAGTTGAGCATGCTGGCTTCTCCATTAGTAGTCTTAAGTCTTAATTTTTTTATTATATTTTAACTGAACACTATGAAGGGTAACAGTGACCTGCATATAACAAGAAAGCAATCTTGAAACTTCTTTGTCATCCCCACAACAGAGGCCTGATACACACAAAAGAGCAAAGTTTGCAATGTCTACATATTATGGCACTGCTTGTGGTCTGGTATGTTTTCTCTATTTCCAATGAACCCAAAATCAAACTTCCTCTATGTCTTCAGTTAGGCATTTCACTCACAGAAAATTCATATATTAAATTGTCACGGTCACAGTCATGGTCCTCCCGTTGTTCATCGATTTGCTCGAGCGGGCCCAGTAACGTCTCTATCATGAGACTTGTTGTTACTGTGTTTGGCATATCGAATACGTCGCGGGTAGCTTGCCAGGCTCTCGCCGTGCGGGCGAGATACTCTCGGTAGTTTGCCAGGCTCTTCGAGAGGGGCAGAGGAATCGAACTCGGGTCAGCCATGTTGGCTGCTTGTAAGGCAGATGCCTTACCACTGTGCTATTAGCTATTATATATTCACCTTTATTCCCAGAATTTTAAATGAAAACTAGCAAAATAATAAAAGGATTTAATCGTTTAAAAAATACATGGGGCTGGAGCAATAGCACAACCAGGTAGGGTGTTTGCTTTGCACGCGGCCGACCTAGGTTCAATCCCCAGCATCCCATATGGTCCCCTGAGCACCGCCAGGAGTAATTCCTGAGTGCAAAGCCAGGAGTAACCCCTATGCATCGCTGAATGTGACACAAAAGGCAAAAAAAATTCTTTTAATTAAAAAATACATAACTTTTGTTATATTTTTAGATTTTCCTAATTTTTAAAAATGGTGGCAAAATACAGATGTAAATTGAACCATCTTTCAAAGCTTTCACGCAAAGGCACTAAGTACATTCTCATGGTTGTGTTAGTGTCACCATCATCCATTCACTGGATTCTTGAATCTTACAAAACTGAAATGATTCTCTGTGTTCCTTCTTAACAATCATTTTCACAGGTGTCTGCAAAACAATAAGATTAGATCCATATCTGTCTATGCTTTCAGAGGACTGCACAGCCTTACTAAACTGTAAGTAACAGTGAGAGTTAGTTTGCCAATTGTACTTTTATAAATATATTAAGCATTATAAGATTGAAAGAACATATATTTTTTGATAAAGGAAGCTTTATTTTATTCTATTAATTGATTTTTTATCAAGGTAGCACTGGTTTACAAGAGTATAAATGTGCATTTTTTAAGGAGACAATGTTAGCACACCCTGCCCAACACTAAAGTTCAAATATCCCTGTACCACAATCCAGCACCATCCCCTTCCCCATTTCAAGTCCTCTCCCTGGCTCTGAGTAACCTCTGTTCTGTAGTAAGGATTTGTTTTCATTGGATATTGTCTAACCCCTTAATTTGGTTTTTATGCACCACACATAAATTAGATCATCTGCCATTTCCTTCTCCTGATTTGTTTTGCTTTTCATGCTTTCTTCCAGCTATAATGAATATGTAGGGGTGAATATCCTTGTTAATATTCACCTTGTTTTGTGTTCTCTGGATATAGAAGTGAAATATCACATTTGAATTTAGAGAACTTTCCATGATATTGTACTTAGTGATTGGACCAATTTACATTTCCACTAACAGTTAATGTAGATTTCTTTTTATTCATTATCCACACCACACTCATTCTAACCTTTGTTCTGGGAGCTGTTTTCATCCAAAACTCTTTCCAGTCATTCCTTTAGTTTAGTCTTCCTGTTTCCTCACTCTTCCAAGATCTATAATCCCCACCTCCAAGAAAGTCAGCTGATTTCTCCTCTTCAATAAACCAATCATTTGTTATACATGTCAATATTTTTCCTATGTTGTTCTAATAAGTTTTTCATATGTTCTCTCCTGTCTAAAGAAAGGGATGATATGCCTACTGCATAGTCATGGAGCTAGTACTCAAAATCAATTAGAGAAGGGGGCTGGAGCGATAGCACAGCGGGTAGGGCGGTTGCCTTGCACGCAGCCAACATGGCCGACACAGGTTCGATTCCCAGCACCCCATATGGTCCCCTGAGCACCGCCAGGAGCAATTCCTGAGTGTATGAGCCAGGAGTAACCTCTGAGCATCTCCAGGTGTGACGCAAAAAGCAAAAAAAAAAAAATCAATTAGAGAATAAATGAATAGATTCATGAAATCATCAATCATACTGATTGATTTAAGGAAAATTAAAAGTTTGCTATTAAAAGGTAAGTGAGAAAAAGAACATTCTGATAACCAAAGGTAAGGAAATATGATGATCAGAAGCAATTGCACTGAAGAAAATTTAAGATGAATGGCTTTTAATTTTCCTTTTCTTATTCTAAGCTATCACTCCACCCTTGCGCGCAGCCAGCCTGGCTGAGCCGGGTTCGATTCCTCCACCCCTCTCAGAGAGCCCGGCAAGCTACCGAGAGTATCTAGCCCGCACAGCAAAGCCTGGCAAGCTCCCCGTGACGTATTCAATATGCCAAACAAAGTAACAACAAGTTCTCGAAATGGAGACGTTACTGGGCCCACTCCAGCAAATCGATGAACAACGGGAGGACAGTGTTTGACAGTATTCTAAGCTACCAAAAACCTACAAATTTATTACAGTCCTTTTTCCTTTTTCAGATACCTCAGTTATAACAGAATTACCTTCCTGAAGCCTGGTGTTTTTGAAGATCTACACAGACTGGAATGGCTGTATGTTTAATTTCTGTGGCATTTTAAACTAGTTGCTTTTACTTTCTAAAAATATATTTACTGCATAATTTTTTCTGCACTGGCAGGATTATTGAAGATAACCACCTCAGTCGAATTTCCCCACTAACATTTTATGGACTAAATTCTCTTATTCTCTTGTAAGTATTAAAAATTAAGTCAAAAATGTTAATTAACAGAAAACATAAATAAAAGTGGTTTTATTTTGACAGTACTAAAATTGGATCTATTAAAATTTAAGACAGTCTAAAATCTATCTCTTAATCATATTTTTCACATAAAACCTTTAGTGTTCTAGAATGTCAGCCCATTCAAACTAAAGATGGCCTTATTTTATGAACTATTTTATAAAAATATTCTTAGGCCAATACTGCCATGACAGTATCACCATCACTGCCCTATATGAATCTCAGTTAAAACAGGGTCCAGAGCAATAGGACAGTGGAGAGGGCAGTTGCCTTGCACAGAGTCGATTGGGTTTGATCCCCAGAATCCCTTATGGTACCCCAAGCACTGCCAGGAGTAATTCCTACATGCAGAGCCAGGAGTAACACCTGAGCGTATACTGGATGTCACCCAAAAAAAGCAAAAAACAAACAAACATAAAAAAAATTGTAAAAAACTTCCTTTTTAGTACTTACTGGTGAAGAGCAAAAGTTTTTTTCATGTGCTAACATTGTTCCATTATTCATGTGAAAGCTCTTATTTGTTGAATTTTATTACTAACAGGTGTTTAAATATAAGGAGACTCGGAGGAAACATAGAGACTGCAACTAATGATTCGTGGTTTTATTCAAAAAATAACACTAATACCGTGTTTGAATTAAATTGAGAAATGAGTCAGAAATATGTGGCTTCTTTTGTTTCTTTTCTTCTTTTCAGAGTGCTGATGAACAATGCCCTCACCCGTTTGCCTGATAAACCTCTTTGTCAACACATGCCAAAGCTACATTGGCTGTAAGTTGCTATATCATCTTTTGAAAAGGCAACTAACTTTTCTTCTTTTCTTGGGTCTAATTATTTTGGATACTAGGCTTTATTTAATAATAATTTGCTAATGTGTCACTTTTTATTTTTCAGTTGACTTTAGCACAATTTTGCTTTACAACAAAACAGGCACGTCCTAAAAAGCTCTTGTATGCAAAAGTAGAATGTCTAAAAAAAGTAAACAGGGGCTAGGGAGTGACAGCACAGAGGTTAAGATGCTTGACTTGCACAAGGTCAACCCTAGATCAATCCCTGGCATCATGTCTAATCCCCAAGAACCATCAGGAGTGATCCCTGATTTTAGAGTAATCCCAGAGTGTGGCTCAGAAACCATAAGTATTTTTTTTCCAATTTAAATTAAAAAAAATAAAAACTTTAGGCATGGGGGTTATGGTGCCGCCAGCAGGTCAACTGTACCTGTGAGGCGAGTGCATCAGCAGCCTGATGGTGCCTTCAGACTTCCAGATACCCCAAAATTGCTGCTGTGCCTTTGGCCAGACCCCAAAAACTTGGGGCAAAGTTTACCAAGAAAGTAAACAGCCAAAAGTTAGGTATGTGGGAAACACACCCACAAACCACCTCTGGCTCAGCTATATAATTGGAGGCAAGGCCTCTCTGGTTCCTGATTGAACTGCTTAATGGCCATGATCCCAGAGACTCAGAAACGAATCTTGGAAACCAGCGGCTTTAGGTAGAAATGCGTCTGGTTCCTGCAGTAGGTTACCAGTGCTGGGTCAACCCAGGTGGGAATAGGTTTCGTGCCTTGGCCTGTTCCTCCTGGTGGCCCAGTGGCCGCCATCCTTCAGAGGCCACTGGAGAGTCAGGTTTGGGACCCCAGTGACGAGACACATAGGGCCTCACAGGATGCGGGTGGAGCCGGGCTTGTCCTCCCCACCCCAATGAGACCCCAAGTCATCGTCCATGAATGGCCTCTCTGGCTCCTGATCCAGCTGCTTAATGGCCATGATCCCAGAGACTCAGAAACAAATCTCAAAACCCAGTGGCTTTTGGCAGAAATGCATCTGGACCCCACAGTATGTTACTGTCACCGGGCCACTCCAGGGAGGAAAGGGTGTTGTCACTCCACCTGCTCCCTCTTGGCGGCTCGGTGGCCTTCATCCTTCAGAGACCATTGGACAGTCAGGCCTGGGCCCGCAGTGACGAAACTTGTTGGGCCTCACGGGATGGGGACAAGAGCCAGGCCTGTCCTCCCCTCCCCAATGAGACCCCAAGTCATGGCCCACGAATGACCTCTCTGGCTCCTGATCAAGCTGCTTAACGGCCTTGATCCCAGAGACTCAGAAACAAATCTCGAAGCCCAGCGGCTTTGGCAGAAATGTGTCCAGACCCTGCAGTAGGTTACTGTTGCCAGGCCACCCCAGGGAGGAAAGGGTGCTGTCCCTCCGCCTGTTTCCCCCTGGCAGTTCGGTGGCCGCCATCCTCCAGAGGCCATTGGACAGTCAAGACTCAGGAGCAAATCTCAAAACCCAGTGGCTCTTGGCAGTAATCCCTCCAGATTTAAGTGTTAAAATTTCGGAATTTCAAAATCACATGGCCCTACTGCAGCCACGCGATATCATATGTTATTCATAGCCAGCAATAGAACACAAATTGTCTATTGTTGCCTTTTTGGCATATCTGTTATTCATCGATTGCCTCGAGCAGGCCCCAGTAACGTCTCCTTCGTCCTAACCCTGAGATTTTTTTTAAAAAGTGCCATATTCAAGGCTCTTTCGGAGTTAGGAGAATGAGACCCTTCATTGTTACTGGTATTTGGCATTTTGGGTACGCCACGGGGAGTTTGCCAGACTCTGCCGTGTGGGCAGGTTACATTCGGTAGCCTGTCAGTTTGTCCAAAGTGGGAATGAGATGATGAGATGTCGCGCGGCTTCAAATGCGCAGTGTGCTTCTGGGAGCTGGGTTTTATAGTCTCTCAGTCTTGGCCATTGATGGGATTATATAGCTCCAGAGGGCCAGTTGGTGGGTGTGACCCCCCCCCCCCCCCGCCTACTGGAATTTGGAGGATCTGGGTGGAGGATGCTCAGCCCCGATCCGAGTAGGCTTGGAGATCTCAGCCCCGGGACCCACGTGCCTTTGTTCCCCTTCCGGTACCTTCATGTGTGCAGAGAGTGTATCTGAGTGTTGGGGTAAAATCTCAAATAATAATGGTGGGCCTGGTGTGGAAATATTGAATGTGATCAAAGTAGAGAGAGAGTAATGTGGAAATCATCTGCCCCACAGGTGGAGGGAGAGCGTGGGATGGGGGTATACTAGGGTTTTTGGTGGTGAAGAATGGGTACTGGTGAAGGTACGGGTGTTTCATTGTATGACCGATACTTAGACCCAAAAGCTTTGTAACTGCTCTCACAGTGATTCAATAAATAAAATTATAAAAAAATTTTTAAAAAAGTAAGGTAGAGTTTATGCACAATTCAATCAGCTAATCAGTGGCTGAATAAATAGCAGTACTCCTACAAAAAAAAAAACTTTAGGCATGGAAGAAAGAAGACAGAAGTGAGAACATCATGTATATAAAATATTCCCTTCTTCACCCTATCTATTCATTTTGTACAAAAAAGACTACATCCCTTCCATTTCATCCCTAAAGTCAGAATAATTAAAATACAAATTTTAAAGTATTTTAACTTGATTTTTAAACCATCTGTTAAAAAGGCAAACTAAAGAGATAAATCAGAGAAATAGTTGTTGATAAGTTCAATCAATTAATTGCATCTACAGTGTACATGGGCTGGAGCGATAACACAGTGGATAGGGCCTTGCATGTGACTGACCCGGCCAACCCGGGTTCGATTCCTCTACCTCTCTTGAAGAGCCCAGCAAGTTACCGAGAGTTATCTCGCCCACACAGCAGAGCCTGGCAAGCTATGCCTGACATATTCGATATGTCAAACACAGTAACAACAAGTCTCACAATGGAGACGTTACTAGGCCCACTGGAGCAAATCGATGAACAACAAGAGGACAGTGCTACAGAGTTACATAAAAATTTTCCCTTTTCTTATTTTACAGGAAATTTTAATGCTTTCTTGTTATATTTCTAAGTTCACTATAGATAATACATGCCAAATTAAAAATAGAGGGGAATTTTAGAGTCAGAAACATTTATTTTGGTGAGAAATGACAATGATTAATATGATAAGAAAGCCGATACAAGGGGTACAGAGGTTACGATGCTTGCAATGCATAACTGTTGATCCTCATTAAATATCCAGCATCCCAGGTGTCCTCCCAGTATGCCAGGAGTGACTCCTGAGAACAGAGTAAGGATTAAGTCCTGAGTATATCCAGGTGTAGCCTAAACTATCCCCACTATACTCCTCATCATAAAATAGAAAGCAAGTACAAGACATACTCTGAAAAGGAAACATAATAATTCAAAATATACTAGTTTGGATCTAACAAGAGAAAGACAAAATTCCTCAATCCCATTGTCAATCCAAGAGGGCATGTTGGTCTGAGGGTAGAGTACACCCATTATATCAAGCTAACGTATTCAGAAAAGGGTAAAATATCTTCACTATCATTTGTATTAATTGAATTTGAGTTAAATGAATGCTTTAATAGTTACTACATGTTCGATAATCCAAACTTACTAATTAAATGAAATTGATAAATACTTACATAGGTAAATAAACCAATTAAAATGAATGCATTGAGCCCAGAAGAAAAAATTGGGATATATTATGCACATATAATTATACACCTCTAATTTGCATTTCAAAAGCCACCAAATATCACTTCAGAAGAAAATGTAAATGACTAAAATTTGTCACTAAAGAAATGGACATTTAAAAAATCTCATTAGTAAAGTTATCATCTGTAAATCTTTTCTTTCTAAAAGAACTAATTCCTTATGCATTTCTGATAGTAAACAGCCCAATTTTAATTCCAGTCATAATGGTTTTTGTTTTACAAGTTTTTATTTTTTAAAAATGGTTACAATATTTTTGCCCTGAACATTAATTTCATTTAATAAAACTAAATAAAACTAGACCTTTTATTGTCTAGTTTTTGCTCTTAGAGAACCTAGCAGGCAACCGAACTGTGACAATTGTTACTGTGTTTGACATATCGAATATGTCATGGGTAGCTTGCCGTGACATATATACCTGACTGGGAACACCTGTAAAGGTGATCAGAGGCTGCCCCAAAAGCCTCCATCCCTCTCATAGAGCCCTTCGAGCTACCAAGAGTATCCTGCCTGCACGGCAGAGCCTGGGAAGCTACCCGAGATGTATTCAATATGCCAAACACAGTAACAAGTCTCAAAATGGAGATGTTACTGGGCTGGCTTGAGCAAAACGATGAACAATGGGAGGACAGTGCTCAGTGCTTAGTAGAAAAATACACATAAAGTAAAAGGCATGTGACTAACCAGTATGATACATTTGTAAATTACAACAATATAACATACTACGAATTAAAACACAGAAATTTCAAAGCAGCAAAATCTGTAAACATCACAATAGTACTTGGGAAATTCTAAAAGAAAGTAACTTGGGCCCAAATGATAGTACAGTTGGTATGGGGCTTGTCTTGCATGATGCCGACCGGGTTTTGATCCCCAGCATCTTTATGGTCCCCCACACGACACACAAACACACACACTGCCAGGGGTACTTCCTGACTGCAAAACCAGGAATAATACCAGGATCCAGAGCCAGGAATAATCCCAGAATCACAAGGCATTGAAATGAAATGTATAATAGCCAAAGGTCCATACTAAGCAAGTTGGACTAGAGCGATAGCACAGCTGGTATGGCGTTTGCCTTGCACGCAGCCAGCCCGGCCGAGCTGGGTTTGATTCCTCTGCCCCTCTCAAAGACCCCGGCAAGCTACCGAGAGTATCTCGCCCAGTTGGCAAAGCCTGGCAAGCTACCCATGACATATTCGCTATGTCAAACACAGTAACAATTGTCACAATGGAGATGTTACTGGGCCCGCTCGAGCAAATTGATGAACAACGGGAGGACAGTGACAGTGACTAAGCAAGTTTATATATTGACAAAATAAGGTAATATGAAGAAACTGAAAAAATAATGATGATAACTATGAACAAGGAACTCTAAGACATAGAAAGGATTGGGGAGATGTAAGGCAGGGTGCGAACACACAGGAATATCGGACCATGGCACTAGAGAGAGAGCACAGTGGGTGGAGCCTTCCCCTGCATGTGGCCAGACCTGATCCGGGTCACGTATTGTTTTCCAAGCACCACCAGGAGTGATCTCTGAGCACAGAGCCAAGAGCATGGAGTACCATCTGAGGTGTGCCAGACACACACACACACACACACACACACACGAAAAATAAAATAAAGAAACAGATGGAGGGATTAGCCCAAAGCAGCAGGGTTATCTATTCTTTTGAGACTAGGGAGAGGTAAGTGTGTCTATACAGGTAAGTTTATAGGAGTCTGGTTGAAAGTTGGGGCTTTTTCCTCCTTTAGTTCTTTTTTCTTCTTTCCTCCAATTTGCTCTTTTAAAGAGGAGCCAGAAAGATATGGGAGAATGCGGAGATTAAGAAATTCTCATGCTGCTAAAAGAAAACAAAATTGTCTGGGCAGGGGCGATATAATACAGTAGGCAGGGCGTTTGCTGTGCACACAACGGAGCTGGGTTGGATCTCTCACAACCCATTTAGTCTCCTGAGCACCCCCAAGAGTAATTCCTGAGGGCAGAGCCAAGAGTAACCCCTGACCATTGCAGGTTGTGACCCAAAAAGCTGACCAAATAATAAAATCGGGAAGAAAAAAGTAGGATCACTGAGATTTAGCGATTGTACTTTTTACTGTTCTTCAGCGAGAAGCAATTTTTCATTTCGACATTAGTTCTACCACGTATAAAAAGAAAATTTAAATGGTTGGGTTCAGAGGCATGGACACTAAGTAAAAAAAACTGATCTAGACACAGGATATAGACAAAAAATGGTCTAGAAAAAACTCTCCTTAGAGCTTGGACCTAAGGATACGAGGCAACTTTGCAAACCTCAGCTGATAAGTGTGTTGTGAGCCATATCCTTGCTTTACAAGGCCGAAAACCTCTGCTCTAGAGGAGAAAAAAACAAACCAATTCATAAATAAAGTTTAACTCAAAATCAAACTCAAATAACCATAACATCAGAAGTTTCTAATTTGTATTTTGATGTATGTCTCTTGGTGCTTTTTATAAATTAGTTTAACTAGAACTAGATTACTTTTTTTTTTCTAATTTACCATAGGGGCAGGCTAACATCAACTCTTTTAATATCTTGTGAAACTTTAGAGAGCTTCACCACCTGGTGGTAGATAATGGGAATGGCACTAAAGTAGGAACAGAAATGACTAGTCTGTGGTGAGAGGCCAACAGTCTTGGCAGTCCCCAATTGAAACAGCAACAGGAAGTACCCAAAGTGATTGGTTTCCAACTTAGTAGAGTAACAGCGATTTTTCTTTCGAAGTTTCTAGAATTCAGATTTAAGACTTTAATATGATATTCCATACACTAGAGAAAACCCATCTGCAAAGTTTTGAGTTAGAGTATGCAGTCTCTGTAGCACTTATTTTTTTCTCTAGATAACATAGATTATGAGCTAAATCTGAATGGTTTTGTGTCTTTCAAACAGGATATCTAGCAATTTGAGGTAGCATTTAAAAAAAAACTGTTTCTTCTTCTTTTTGTTTTTCTTTTCTTTTTTTTTTTCCTATTCTCTGTTAGAAATAGACCCTTTCCTTCTGTTGACTTGACTTGTAGACCCGGGAGGTTATAATCTTCCAGATATAATTTATAATATGGACTGTTTTTATTTCAGCTTCCAAAATAAAACTGACCCAGTCAAAAGTAGCCTAATCAGCAGAATAGTTTTTAACAGAATGCAGGCACTTATACCAGTGCTACTCATGGTTCCTTTATAGATTTTAGTAGCTGCAACACATTTCAGTTTATATATTTTAGTTGCCAGCATTGAGTGACTCTATATTATATGACAACTGGCATGCTAAGTTTTAGGATAGACCCAATAAATTTAACCACCAGCGCTTACTTGTAAAAGTATACCCCTTACCTCAGCTGAGTCTTTTCCTATAAATTTCCACTATAAACCTACCAATAAAAGGAGGACATTAAAGAAAATCTTCATCATAACTATGAAGAAGGGATAGCAAGACAAGTTTTTTTCACAAATTTCATTACTCAGACAAAACTCCTAACAGTCATATAACATCACACTACAGGGAGTTCAAGTAGATTCAATGTGCAGATCCCACGGCCTGCCTGGGCCTCCTGCTCTGGCCTGGGTGGTCATACATAAGCCAAATCAGGATGATCGCATGTTTTGTACAAAACACTTGGCAAGGAAAGAAAAACTGTGGCAATGACGGAGGGATGTGATCCCTCTGGAGATGAACGGGGTGCTGAAAGAAGGTAAAGTGATATGCATGATACCCTCTCAGGATTGTAAAGCTAATACAATTGCAAGCCACAGTGCCTAAAACAAAGTAAAAAAGGGCTTTCATAGAGGCATGCAGGGGTGTGGGGAGGAAACTGGGGACACTATTGGAAGGAAATAGACACTAGTGAAGGGACTAGTGTTGGAACATTGTCTGCCTGGAACTCAATCATAAATAACTTTTTAAGTCATGATGATTTAAGTTAAAGCATTATTTAAAAAATAAATGAATATATGAGTTTAAAAGTAGATGAGGATTTTTAAAAGTATGCGTTTAAGCAAAAGAAGTTAAAGGATAAAAAGTGTTTTGCCAGTAGTCATTTCAGAAACAATACTAGAATGGTCTTCAGGCTGTCATAAAATAGTATGTCACCCCTTAGAAACAATCATTTGTAGTTCTTGAATTAAAAATTTAGATTAGTATTTATTTAGTATGGTTCACTTTTAATTATCTGTTATCAAAGTCAGTATCTACCATAATAAATGTTTTCAATTTAAATCTTTATTCTCCTTTATATTTCTTAGGATAACATATATATCCATATAAATAAGTGCTATAGATATTAACTCAAAACATTTTGCGTTAAAAATTTTGCGAAAAAGAGACTATTAACTATGTTATTTCAAATATTACATAAACAGGAATATGGAAAAATCTGTCTGTCCTGTCCTCCCGTTGTTCATCGATTTGCTCAAGCAGGCCCAGTAACGTCTCCATTGTGAGACTTCTTGTTACTGTGTTTGGCATATTGAATACTCTCGGTAGCTTGCCAGGCTCTCCGAGAGGGGCAGAGGAATCAAACCCGGCTCGGCCGGGCTGGCTGTGTGCAAGGCAAATGCCCTACCACTGTGTAATCTATATAAAATAAATAGTATGGTGGAAAAAGGTTTTCTTTTTTGGAGGCAATAATTTTTAACCAATTTACTTCTGCCTATAATTACACTCAGTCTTATCATCATCTGTTTTTTTATGTTCCAGGGACTTTGAAGGAAACCATATCCATAATCTAAAAAATTTGACCTTTATTTCATGCAACAATTTGACTGTCCTGTAAGTAATGATTTATTTACTTTTAAAGTAATGTTTTATATATATGTATATGTATAAACACAATCATTCATGGCAACAAGCTAGAATAAATGCACAAAGTAATGATAACAGAAGTTTACACGTAACTTAAAGTCTTTTTGAAATTGAAGCATGTGGGGAAATTTATGGCAATTCACACCAAAAGTAGCTGTAGATTCATAACACACATGAATCACTAGAAAGGCACCATATTTTTTGAAAAGCTGTTTCCTTGTAAGTTAAGTAGTGTTCATTTTAATGGACTACCTTGAATCCATCATTGGGTCACAGTTTGAGGAACATTTGCACTCTGAATTTCTAATAACGCTCTCCCTGTGTGAATTATTTCCACAAAGATTGAGAAAAGAAGTTTATCACAATAAATGAAAAAATAGTGTATAATTGTCCTAACACTGAGGCTATGATTAGGATCCTCAGAGATGGATCTCAGATTGTTCAGCAGTGGAATTTCTCCTATTTCTCTCTGCTATTTTAAGTCCACATTGCCTCTTCCATAAAAGTAAAGGATGCTGGGCTTCCTTCAGAATAAAAATAGAGCTGCCTCACTGACAGTTTACTTTTCCAGAACAGTGATTTCAAACTGTGGATTGCAGTGCACATATTGGTAATGAAAGCAATGTAGTATGTTCAAACCTGCATTTTTAATGGTCTGGAATAGAATTGAAGTGAATTTTTGAGATTATGCTCAAAGCAGAAGTGATAGATAGTGTGGTAGGTAGAACTATCTTTGCACACAGTGAACAAACTATCTTTGCACACAGTTCAACCCCCAGCATCCCATCTGATCACTCAAGCACATCCAGGGGTTATTCCCAAGTGCAGAGCCAGAAGTAAGCCCTGAGCACAACTGGGTGTAACCCAAAAACCAAAAAAATCTATTTTAAAAATAAAGGAATAAAACTTTCTTATAATTTAGTTATTTGTGCAGAATGAACTATCAAGAGTTCTCGTCGGATTCAACAGCCCAAACTGGAAGTAATGAAGTGATCCAATTTAGGCTTTTTTCATAGACGATATCACCTCAATTCAGATCAGTGACTAAGTCAGTCTGAGAGCTATGGAACATGAGGTATTTACCTCACATACACACTACACCTACTTGAGTCGGCTTTTCCTGTGCTCTCGGTTGCATGATACACAGCCTATTCTCGATTGTTGAGGTTTTCACTCTCTATTCAGGCCCTTGTTTTAATAAAGATGTCGTCATGTTTTGTTATCATCGACAAAATGTTTGGCAAGCTTAGGACTAAAATAAATTAGGAATGTTCTCAGTTCATTTTAGCTATCGTGGCATGGGATTGTTTGTAAATTTCTTTATTTTAGCAGTCTGTTACCTTCCTCTAATTTGGGAGCTATAATCTCAAGAAATTACAGCTTATTTTTCCATTTTTACTTTCAGGGTTATCAGAAAAAACAAAATCAATCACCTACATGAAAATGCTTTTGTTTCTCTCCAGAAACTAGATGAATTGTAAGTTTGATTAAATATATATTGATAACAAAATGTCTATTTTATTTTACATTTATTATACACATATGCCTTTACATATTTGGGAAATATTTTTATTTTAAATTTTAACTATTTCTTTCCAGCATGATTTTTATGTAGTTTTGGCCTCAACAGAACTCAGATGGTGTACAAAATTATTTATGATGGGACTGGAGCAATAGCACAGAGGGTAGGGTGTTTGCCTTGCACACAGTCGACCCGGGTTCAATTCCCAGCATCCCATATGGTCCCCTGAGCACCGCCAGGAGTAACTCCTGAGTGCAGAACCAGAGTAACCCCTGAGCATCACTGAGTGTGACCCAAAAAGCAAAAAATAAAATATGTATGAGAGGAAAAACTTTAAAAAATAAAAATTGGGGAAACTGATATAATAAGGAACATAGTTATAGAAAAAGAATAAGCCAGAGTAAAATTGATAGGTAAAATACATACTCTCTCCCTCCTTCTCATTGCTAGAGAGGGACTCCATATTTTTCTTTAAATTAACCAAAATGGGCTGGAGCAACAGCACAGCGGGTAGGGCGCTTGCCTTGCACACGACCGACCTGGGTTCGATCCCCAGCATCCCATATGGTCCCCTGAGCACTGCCAGGGGTAATTCCTGAGTGCAGGCCAGGAGTAACCCCTGTGCATCGCCAGGTATGACCCAAAAAGAAAAAAAAACTGTAAATTAACTAAAATGTTAGGGTTCGGAGACCAGACAAATTTTTAGAAAATATCCCCATCTTGGGGGAGAGGGTTGGACTACAGCTCGCAGTTCTTAAGGAATCATCCATGGTGCCAGGATTAGACCTGAATCACAGCCTACAGTGTCATGCATGCTACACCTTAGCCTTGTACTGTCTCTCCAGCCCAATGACATCCTTATTTTAGACACACCCAATCTATAACAATAAAGAGAAAGATCAGTTAAAATAGCTAGCCAACACTGCCCCCCCCTGTTTTTTTTTTCTTTTTGGGTCATACCCGGCGATGCACAAGGGTTACTCCTGGCTCTGTACTCAGGAGTTACTCCTGGCGGTGCTTAGGGGACAATATGGGAATGCTGGGAATCGAACTCAGATCAGCCACGTGCAAGGCAAACGCCCTACCCACTGTGTTATCCCTCCAGCCCCATAATGCCCCTTTTAAGAGCAAAAAACACAATGCCAGAGAGAGCTAAAGCAACTCTCTGATAAACCAAATTCTTGTTGTCCAAGCATATAATATCTGCTTATCAGCAATAATATATATAAAAGAAGCATTGTAATATATATCCTTCAGACACTATCTTATTTTTAAATATTTAATATTGATTTTCCAATTATGTCTTTGCTAAAGTAGAAGCTAGCTACTAATTTGATTTTTTACATTTTCTGGAGCAAGTCTGGAATATGGAGAGGTCAAAATAATTTGAAAATTTGATGAAAACTTTGCTTTAGAGATGGAGAGATAGTACACAGGTAAGGTGCTTGCCTTGCATGGGAACCTGAGTTCAGTTCCCCACACTATATATACTCCCTGGAGCACCACCAGGGCTCATTCCTGTGTGCAAGGCCAAGATTAAATCCTGGTGTTTCCAGGTATGCCCCTACCCTACCCCAACAAAGAATATAACTTGAATATTTTGGGGGGTCCTTACCTTCACACTGAGATAAACAGAAGACACATACGCCCTAGGCAGAAACAACTGTCAGGAAACATTGCCTGCATTCAGTCGACAATGGTGAACATTCAGAAGTGACGCCATGCCCACTTAAATATATAACAACTTTCCTAAAGAAAAACTGAGAGAGCAATCACACATGTCACACATGTCGTGTGACCTATGTCACATGTCACTTAGAATCTATGCTAACAGTATCCCAATGCATGGTATAAGATGCAAGAATTTTACGTCAGATTTTGACCTAATAACCGAAACCAGCACACCCACCAGAAACTGCTGAATTTGATATCTGGAAATTCAATATCCTAGTGAATAGTTGTACTTTAAGTATGTTTCTATATCACCTTCTGAAGATGACCAATATACTTGACTTCCCATATTAGTAACTGGAACTGTGCCTCCAGTTGTACCTAAATATGAAGCACACATGTTAACACAGATTAGCTAATCAGTTAACACAGACTAACTGTGTTAATTAATTAATTAACACAGATTAACTCTATTAATCATCTTCTAGGTAAGAAGAATAGCTAGCCCAAGGCTAAGATGGCGGACATTCCAAAATCAACCAATATGGTTCTTATTCTTAAAGAGCTTGCACATCCTTCAAGATTGAAACATATATATGTACATATACATAAAACATTAATATTTTGTTATATGTGCTATATATGTTAAATGTTTTACATTTGCTATCATAAGTGAATGCAAGAAGTAAATAGGAAACAGAGAGACATCCTTATAGCGTCTAGTCACAGAGGGACAACATTTGAGTAAAATCTTAAAGGATTGATGGGAATTCATCAGGAGGACAGAAACTAGAGGTTATCAAGGTAGAAGGAAAAACCAAAGCAAAGAGGTTAGAATACAGAAATACTTTCAGGCCAGGGTGAAAGTTATTTTGAAAGTGTAGGAAAAGGTAAGAAACGAAGCATGAAAGATAGGCACCTGCCACAAGCTAACACAAGAGCTGCTGTCATGAAAAGCATTATAACTAAGCTCCAAGGTCATACCATGTTAGGCAGACCAACTTAAGGTAATATCACACTGTCCTGCCCCAGGAATGGATAAGATAGTATTTTTCATCTATGAAAGAAAGCTGCAGCTGAAAGAATTCCTTCCACTTGATAGTCCTAATAAATCCAAGCAAAGAAAGCTTTAAAGTTCCAAGTCATGTTCCTATTCTATCAGAAAAAAAGAAACGTAGAAAGGGAAAAGACAAGGGGGGTGGATATTTGGGGAAGCACGAAAGGCCATATCACATATATTGCTTGAAATCAAACACTGGGCAAATTTGAACCATATTAAATACAACCAAGTATTTGCCTTTAAGGGAGAGATGAAATACAATAAAATACTTTTTCCCATTACTATTCCTTTTTAAAATTCTGATTTTGGATAGTTTCTGTAATTTATCAACATCACTGTTTAAATGTTGAATAATGGTTTCCAAATGAATTGCACAACAAAGATTTAAATCTTGAAAAATGACATGTTTGTAATTATTTCCCTAGGGACTTGGGAAATAATAAGATTGAAAATCTTCCACCATATGTATTTAAGAATTTGAAGGAACTCTCGCAATTGTAAGACTGCTATTAATTCTGTCATTTCTCTTTTATTTCATATTTTAAATTGTAATTAACTGATTCAATGTAAAGTTAGAGTTTTATATATATATATTTTAGGTCTATAGTTCAGTGGCATTAAGTGACATATTTTCATTATTGTGCAGTCATCATCACTGTCCATCTCCAAAACGTTTTTCTCTTCCTAAATTGAAGTTGCGTATCTGTGACTCTCCATCAGCTCAACCACACTGGCATCTCCCACTCTGTGTTTAAGACTTTGACTACAGTAGGTGTCTGTCCAATACAGACAGAAGCATATGATATTTGTTCTTTATGACAAGCGAATTTCATTTCACATACTGTCTTAAAGGTCCATAAAGGAGTGAAGCACATCGTAATATCTTGTTCCTTTATAAGACTGAATAATAATGATTGTATCATATGCCATATCATGTTTACCATACATTCAACCCTCTGTGGACCCTTGATTGCTTCCGTCTTTTAGCTATTTTGAGTAATGCTGCTAGGAACATGTGTAAATATCTATTTAGAGCTTTGTTTTCAATTCTTTGGAGTGTATAGCTCCAGAGATATAATTGCTAACCCATATAATTCTACTTTTAATTCCTTTAGAAAATACCGCACTGTTATCTTTGGTGGCTAGATAAAATTTCAGTACCCATAATGAAGCAAGGGGCTCCAATTTCTCCGCATTCTCAACACTTGCTATTTTCTATTTATTTATAATAGGGACCTAATAAAGGTGAAATATTCTCTCATTATGACTTTGTTTTGCATTTCCCTATTTATTGATATTACTGAGAATGTTTTCAGGTGCTTGTTGATCACTTGTATGTCTTATTCAGAGAAAAAAATCTATTCAAGTTTTTTTGCTCAATTTTTACTTATGTGATTTATTGGTTTTGAGTCATAGGAATCGCTTTTCCACATTTAAGATAAAAGGCTTTCTCTTTACTGAAACAAATTTTAAAAATGACCTTTTACTGCCTTTTTTAAAACAGGAACCTTTCATATAACCCAATCCAGAACATTCAAGCAAGCCAATTTGATCATCTTGTCAAACTCAAGTCTCTGTAAGTATATACCAATGGGGACAGTTTTATAGTGAAATTATAGTTCTATAAATAAAATTTAAAGGGGCCAGAGAGATAGCATAGAGTGTAGTGTACTTGCCTTGCACAAACCAACCCGGGTTGATCCCTGACATCCAAGCCAAGTCAGGAGTAATACTTGAGCCCAGACCAGGAGTAAGCCATGAGCACCACCACTGTGGCGCAAGAACAAACAAAAAAAGGTTTAAATACATTTTTATATTAGAAACTTTATTCCCAGGAAATTAAACTCCACAAATTTCTGTTTGTTAGAAAAATAGCTATTAGGTTTCTCATATAATTATAAATTTAATAGTAGGTAATGATAAATCATTTTATATTTTTCTATAATAACCAGGAAGCTGCACTGAATTGTTTGCCTTGGTCTACTTAAGGCATCCTTGTATAATCCTTCCTCAATTAGCGCAAGGACTCTAGGAATTTATTACAGCCATTCTTATTTCAAGATGGAATATTCTCGATTATATAAATCCTTACTTGGCCCCACACACAGAAAGTAAATTTACGGTCTAATTATTGACTTTAAAAGACAAAGCTACATTTAGTTTGATAATTCCCTAAGACCAGAGAGAGGACTCAAAAGACTGGAGTTCACATCCTGTGTGTAGCGACTTGGGTTCTACCCCCAAAGTTGCATGGTCCCCCAGATCACCTCTGGTGTGACCCCTCAAAATAGAAAAAAATTCCCTCAAAACAACCCTAATATGAAACATTGCTTGAAATTAATTACAGGGGTCCAAGAGAGTATGGGGGTTAAGGTGTGTGCCTAGAGTTAGATTTTATTTTTCATGTTTAATTTTTTTGGTGGGATAACACAGTGAGAGGACCATAGTCCATTGAGCTGCCTCTCCAGCCCCAAGGTGTTTGCCTAGCATTCAGCTCACCCTGGCATGGTTCCCATAAGCCCAGAACATAAACCCCAGAACATCTCTGATACAGCCTTAAGGCCCCCCCACCCCAGCCTCTCTGAGCTCTAGTAATCCTTTGCACCACAGGGCTCAAATAGCACCACATCCTCAAGTGCTCATTTTACCATAGGCCTGGTTGAACAATAATCACCAGGAGGGATGTCCAGAGTTCTTAGGCACTGTGTGGGAAACAATCCCCAAATAATAAAATTTTTACATAAATTTCAAAAACATATAATTTCTCTGTTATTGCTACGTTGTCTAAAAGATAGTACTTGCTCATTTAGTGCACCTACATTTATTGATTGGTTATTATAACAAAAGCATCGTGACATAGTCGCTGAAGACACATAGTAATCAATTAAGGGAAATATATGTGTATAAGATAATCAAAAAGGAGTTATGGAATAACATAGGGCAGGGGAGTATGTATGTTTGGTACAGAATAAGTGCTAACTGAAAGAATTTGATTAAATTGTCTTTCATAAAAGTCTCTTGCATAATACATGTTCTTTTGATAATTGATGTTTTATTTTTAGCAGCCTAGAAGGAATTGAAATTCCAAATATCCAACAAAGGATGTTTAAACCTCTTATGAATCTCTCTCATATGTAAGCACATTTTTCTTGCTCTTCACTTTGATTTTAATCTTTTGTTTCCACATGTATTGTGCTAATACATCCATACTCAATATATTCAATCTATTAAATGTATTGATAGTCTTTATTTTATACTTTACTATTTAGTACTTTATGATGATTAAATTGCCTAAACAATAATTCATTCAAGGTATTCGTGTTTGATAAAATCAAAAATGATGTTTTGAATGTCAGAGAACATGAATATGAAGGTACATACTCAGTGTTAAAGTTCTCAGTTCTAATATCATGCATAGAAATGGATGTTGGAAAGAAAGATGGCGGCCGCACGGGAGCCTTGTGGAAAGCGGGTTTGAGCCGGGCTCGGGGAAGCGGCGGGGACCTCATGGGAAGGGGGGCTTTGTGGGCCGTCCCCCACGCCCCACCGAGGTCGCCAGCTGCCCCCCACGAGCGGCTCTCCGGCACGGCCACGACTCCAGGGCACAGAAATCAATCTCTTAACTAGCTAACTTTTAATAGAAATTCTTCCAGGGTCAATAAGTAAAATAGCAGAAATTCAATAATAAGTAAATAATAATTTACTTATTATTATAAGTAAATTATAATAAGAAATAATAAGAAATTCAATAATAAGTAAAATAGCAGACATCATTTTATTCTTAAACCAAGTTGTAGAAAGCAAATCATTTCACAACGCTGTTTCAGCATGTCTGATTGGGGGGGGGGGGTGGGTCGTAAACTCTAAACAATAATTGTGCATCTTCTATCGAAATAATCTATCTAGTCAAAGTAGATAGAGTATTAACTAGAACTCATCTGCCTCATAAGAATTGGGAGGGGTGGGAGGTGGGGGTCTATTGGGGTTCGGGGTTAAAAATGAGTATTGGTAAAGGGAAATGTGTTCGGTATCTACATGACTGAGACCTAAACCCGAAAGCTCTGTAACTTTTCCCACAGTGATTCAATAAATAAATAAATTATAAAAAAAAAAAAAAAAAGAAAAAGAAAAAAAAAAAAAAAGAAATGGATGTTTGCTAAATGAGTTAGCAATTTGTACAGACAATACAAGTGTTTCCAGATGAAGTAGTAATTAACATAAGTGATATAAAATTACAGATAATTTCCATAAAAAGAGGAATGCAGTGAAAATTACCCCCAACCCCCACTCAATATCCAAGCATAATTTGAGCAAGTCTGTATAGATGAAATGATAAACTGAAAAATGTTTTACTTTGTGTCCTATTTAACATTGAGCACATGCTTTAAAAACATTTGTTGTAATTGAAAAAAATCTTGTAGAAGGTATAAAATTATCTCCTGGCTCTGGTAGTTCTCAGTAATTCAACAGGTACCATATTAGCAATCTTGAACTTTGCAATCTCCTTGTATTTTAAGACTAACATAAGATTCTCTGTGATTTTTCTCCAGACATTCTGAGAGAGAATGATTACAAACATTTCGTTGATAATATACGTAAGGCACCCTCATTAAATTAAGCAAAGGGAATCTTACTGTAAAAAATATGAAACTCACAAAATCCAAAAAGAAAAACATTGAAGGTACAGACTCAGGGACCTAGGGAATCAAGACTACCAGTTAGTTAAATTGCTACCAAAATCTTATTAATTTGCAAAATCACGTACATTTTAAACAAAATTTAAATACTAATTTATTTGCTGAAAATTATCCTAGCCAATAACTTGTTCCTAAAGAGTCATCTACCCTGTACTATACTATGTCTGTCTTTTGACACTGGTTCAAGAATTGATCTTTGTTCCTCAGTAAATGGTGCTGGTTGTTGTAGTAGGAGGTGGAGGTACTTTTTTTTATCAATCTGGGAGGTTTCTCTACAAATGAAATAATTCACTCAAATATTTATTGAACACTGCTGAAATAAAACTTTCAAATACTAGAGACTGTGTGCTAAATTCAGTATAAGGGACAGATAACTTAACACGTAATTATAGATTACATTAAAAAGTTCTAGGGCAAAGTAGGTGGGGCTGTAACTCATTGGTAGAGCACTTGCCTTGCCTGTATAACACCCTGGGTTCAATTCCTGGCACTATAGAATAAATTAAATTTCAAACAATTTTTATAGTAGAAAACACGTGGAAATACAGAAGAGGAAGAACTTGCCTCTCTTCCCTTGATGGCAAAAAATGCAAGAAAAAAACCCTTTCAGGGTCTGAAGGGATAGTACAGGAGACAAGGCACTTTACCTTGAAATCATTCCCTGTTCTACCTCCAGCACTATATATAGTCCTTCAAGCACTGCCAGGTGTAAACTTCCGACAGATCTGGTTATGGCCCCAAAAAAGCATTAGTTGCAGTGACAATAGGACCCATGTAACAGAATCATTACATGAAACACTAGAAACCCAGTTTCCTTGGACAGTTTAATTCTGTTGATCATATGCTAACAGTTTAAGACACATTTAACACCGACATATTATGTGTGCTAATCTGCTATCCTCACCCACACATTCTCTTATAGTGAAATCAATTTTATGAGAATTAAGCATAACTTTAAAACTTCAGTACCCCTAATGTTTTATATTCCTCTTTGTCTCATAATAAGACATGTTCTTGTTGCTGAGAAAATATAAAAAATAAATATTAATAGTGACTTAGAATTTAATTTAAAATATTTTTCCTTCTCTTTGTACAACAGATATTTTAAGAAATTCCAGTACTGTGGGTATGCACCACATGTTCGAAGCTGTAAGCCAAATACTGATGGAATCTCCTCTCTAGAGAATCTCTTGGCAAGCATTATTCAGAGAGTATTTGTCTGGGTTGTATCTGCAATAACGTGTTTTGGAAACATTTTTGTCATTTGTATGCGACCTTATATCAGATCTGAGAACAAGCTGCATGCAATGTCAATCATTTCTCTCTGCTGTGAGTATCTCTGATTGGAGAGGCATTATTGTTTTAATATATATAATATTACTGCTGTCAGAAAATAAGGAAACAGGAGCCAAAGTGATAGTACAGTGGGTAAAGTTTTTGCATTGTACATGGCCGACCTGGGTTCAATCTCTGGCACCCCATAGGGTTCCTGAGCACCACCAAGAGTGATCCCTGAGCACAGAGCCAGGAGTAAACCCTGAGCACAAAGAAGTAAGAAGGAGGAAAAAGAATAAGAAGGAGAAGGAGAGGGAGAAGGAGAAGAAGAAGGAGAAGAAGAAGAAGAAGAAGAAGAAGGAGAAGGAGAAGGAGAAGGAGAAGGAGAAGGAGAAGGAGAAGGAGAAGGAGAAGGAGAAGGAGAAGGAGAAGGAGAAGGAGAAGGAGAAGGAGAAGGAGAAGGAGAAGGAGAAGAAGAAGAAGAAGAAGAAGAAGAAGAAGAAGAAGAAGAAGAAGAAGAAGAAGAAGAAGAAGAAGAAGAAGAAAAGGAGGAGGAGGAGGAGAAAAGGAGGAGGAGGAGGAGAGGGAGGAGGAGGAGGAGGGAGAGGAGAAGGAGGAGGACGAGGACGAGGAGGAGGAGGAGGCAGAGAGGTAGAAGAGGAAGAAGAGGAGAATCATGAGAATTTTTTTAACTTTCTCCTTTAAATTGTTGATGTGAATTCTACAAAAAAAAAAAAGCAAGAAACCATGACTAATGTGTTTCAAATGGCCTGTAATTTTTCCATATTCCCTCAAGCAAGCCTCAATCAACACAATGTTCTGCTGTTTCATGTGTTCTGTTTGATGTCATTTCTCCCTTTTGTAAACTAAATTTTCGTTACAAGTTATCCAAGAAACAAAACTCAGATATTGTCTTTTATATGGATATCTGCACATTTTTGAGTACTCTCAATTTACTTGATGAAGACTAACACACTCTCCTTAAATGCTGTGACCAGCACTGTACAATCGTGTGACTAACACACTCTCCTTAAACGCTGGACACAGCATTTAAGGAGAGTGTGTTAGTCACACGATTGTACAGTGACATGATTTTAGGAACTTTGTGTAAAATGCTTATAAAATTAAAAAAAAAATCTCACTCACTTTCTGATACTTGCTTTGAAAGTAAAAATGTATCAAAGGCAGAGTATCTAGCTCAATAGATAGATGCTTGTCTGGCATGAGTTATGCCCTGGCTTCAATTCAGTCATGGCATGATCCCCCAAGCATTGCTGGGAGTGACCCTAATTACTAAGCTAGGAATATCCCTTGACCACCATGGGGTGTGGTTCAAAAACAAACCGTAAATTCAAAAAAGTAAGTGCACCAAGCATAAAGTAATGTATAATCTTGACAACTAGTTTGGGGATGGATGATCATAAAAAAGGATAAAGAAGATGTAAAAATGAGAAGATGAGAGAAGAGGTTTGCTTAGAACAGATTGGAGGAAATAATTGTAGCCATCCTAAATTGTACTGACAGCATAGTACTTCACAACTATTCCTATATTCTAGGCTACAGACATCAACGTTAATAATCATTACTTCACTATAAAACTTTTGAATTACTTTCTCTAAGATTTTAAATAATATCCTTACTTGTTGAGCTAAAAGACGTTCAATGGATAATCTGAAATAAATAACATCCCCATCTTGGCGTTCAATGGAATCACATTTTTTGTTTATTTATTCAAAACTTCTAGTAGACTCCCTATCTGACTGTTTCCATATATTAGATGGAAAAAGAGAAACAATTATTATGTAACTGACTATGAATGGTACTATAGGAGTGTTTATCAAGGAAAGTTGATAAAGGGGTGCTTTCTCATAAATAAATGTTCAAAATGAAAATTGTCCAACCCAAATACAGAAGAAACATTTTTTATACTACTATGGGCTGGAGCGATAGCACAGCAGGTACGGCGTTTATTGTTGATGTGAATTCATGCGGCCAACCCAGGTTCGATTCCTCCGTCCCTCTTGAAGAACCCAGCAAGCTACTGACAGTATCCCGCCCACACCGCATAGCCTGGCAAGATCCCAGTGGCTATTCAATATGCCAAAAACAGTAACAAGAAGTCTCACAGTGGAGACGTGACTGGTACCCACTCAAGCAAATCGATGAACAACAGGAGGACAGTGCTGTAGTGCTTATATTACTATAGTAGTAATATTACTACCAATTATTCTATCAGATCTATTTAGTTCTCTAAATCTGTGAAATTTACTTATCTTTCTAGGTGCCGATTGCCTAATGGGAATATATTTATTTGTGATCGGTGCTTTTGACCTGAAGTTTCGTGGAGAATACAATAAGCATGCACAGATCTGGATGGAGAGCATCCATTGTCAGCTTGTGGGATCTTTGGCCATTCTCTCCACCGAAGTATCAGTGCTACTTTTAACATTTCTGACACTGGAAAAATACATCTGCATTGTCTATCCTTTCAGATATTTAAGACCTGGGAAATGCAGAACAATTACAGTTCTGGTTCTTATTTGGATTACTGGCTTTATAGTGGCTTTTATTCCGTTCAGCAGTAAGGAATTTTTCAAAAACTACTATGGCACCAATGGAGTATGTTTCCCTCTTCATTCAGAAGATGCAGAAAGCATTGGGGCCCAGATTTATTCAGTAGCCATTTTTCTTGGTAAGAAACTATTTATTCATCCTTTCATTCCAGTATTAGAATAAATCACAGCATGAATTAAACTATGTCTTCTAATGTTGTCAGATTTTTATCTCAACTATTCTAATCTGTTTTGCTCAATGATACTGGGGTGGATTCTCTTAGAATCCCTAAGAAAGATTTGCTTTTCTAAACTTCCCCTTTATCACATTCATTCCAACCTGATACAATTCAATAAGAAAGAAGATACTACACACTTGTGTCTCATGCAGTTATCCTAATTATGCTTAATCAAATATGTTTTAACAGTTGCCTCAAACAAACTCAAATGAGCCACATGTAAGTCTTTGAGTTAAGAGTAGACACACAAGTGTTTTTCTTTAAAAATATTCCCAGAGATAAGGCAAAATAATTGAATTATTAAAAAAAACTCAAGAACAAACTTAACAGGCCTAGGATAGTCAATTAATCACAATAATTTTAATTTAGTTTTAATATCCACTTCTTTATAATTTCATTTTAATTCATCATTTAAAATCAAACATTTCCTCATTCTTCATTCAACAATATTTCAAAATTTAAAATTTCGTTGACTTTTGGGTAACTCTCGTGAAGAACAAAATTCAAATTTTGTTTCCTTTGTGTCTTTTCCTTAATAGTGGGCAGTCAAGAATGTGTTGTGTTTGTCTTTAAAGAATGTTCATATACATAAATAATCACATTTGTGTCCCGCATAGGTATTAACTTGGCAGCATTTATCATCATAGTTTTTTCCTACGGAAGCATGTTTTACAGCATTCATCAAAGTGCTATAACAGCAACTGAAATACGGAATCAAGTTAAAAAAGAGATGATCCTTGCCAAACGATTTTTCTTTATTGTATTAACTGACGCATTATGCTGGATACCCATTTTCGTACTGAAGTTTCTTTCATTGCTTCAGGTAGAAATACCAGGTATAAACTTTTTTTCTCACTGTCATTAAGGAATAATATATCTACTTCTGCCATGTTGCTTTAAAAAATAAAATTAAGAGCCTGAAGGATTACTTGTTTCAAGAACTGTAAATCAGAATTATATGTACTTCAGGCTCTATTCATCAATAGAATGTTCGCAAGGAGGAAACTGGTCAGCTCTTTTTATAAATATAACACCGGAACAAAAATAAAAAGACATAAATAGACTGACGTGTTGACATTCAGAAAGGAAAAGAAGTCAAAATCACATTCAAATGTAATTCCTTTGCTTTTCTAATGTATAAGAAAATTTTTTTCCTGGAGTCTATGGCAATTTGAGATAACATCCCTGCGTATGAGAGATGACAGACACAAACTGATACTTAAAATTAATGTACATCATACTCATTAAGGGAGCTACCATCAAAAGCATAAAATAATTATTTGAGACTGAACTTTATCAAATTGTAGAGAAATTGAAACATTTTGTGTATCGATTAAATTATAATAAAAATCTGGATGTCTGCTATCACTTTATATATTATAGTGATTTTTTGTTTTTGTTTTTGATTTTGTTTTTTGCAGTCCTAGGGATCAAACCCAGGACCTCACACATGCAAAGGAGGCACTTGACCCTGAATATTGTAATTTTTAAGATCTTGTAATTTTTAAGATCTCAGGTTATCCAGTGATATTTTAATTTAAAAGGATAGCTGATAAAAAACCTTAAATATTTATCTGTCAGTCTCTCACACCACCGGAGGCATAGGGCCAGGGGTAAGCCCTGAGTACTTCGGGGTGCAACCCAGCACTCCCATAATAAATGTTTTGTTGTTGCTTTGCTTTTTGGTTTTGGTCCACACTCAGCAATGCTCTTAGCTTACTCTGGGCTCTACACTCAGGGATCACTTCTCATGAGGACCGTATCTGGTGCTGGGAATCAAACCCAGTTCAGCTGTGTGCATATTCTACCCACTATGCAATCCCTCCAGCCCTCCAATACAAAAAGTTTAAGGTAAAGGTAAAGGCCCTCCCGTTGATCGTCGATTTGCTCGAGCGGGCCCCGTAACGTCTCCATTGGAGACTTTGTTGTTACTGTGTTTGGCATATCGAATACTCTCGGTAGCTTGCCGGGCTCTCCGAGAGGGGCGGAGGAATCGAACTCGGGTCGGCCATGTTGGCCGCTTGTAAGGCGAACGCCCTACCGCTGTGCAAAAAGTTTAGAAAAAAATTTAAATACTTTTCTATCTTTACATACAAGCAGTTGTAGTTTTGTACAAATACAAAAAATAGAAATATTTAAAGACAAGTCTATATATTCTGAGAAATACTAATATTCAATCTGATAATCAAAACAAAAAATTAGAACCATATCATAATAATATAGAGCCATTTATTGGGTAGAAATTAGGTAAAGGTAAAGGTAAAGGCCCTCCCGTTGATCGTCGATTTGCTCGAGCGGGCCCAGTAACGTCTCCATTGGAGACTTTGTTGTTACTGTGTCTGGCATATTGAATACTCTCGGTAGCTTGCCGGGCTCTCCGAGAGGGGCGGAGGAATCGAACTCGGGTCGGCCATGTTGGCCGCTTGTAAGGCGAACGCCCTACCCGCTGTGCTATCGCTCCAGGGTAGAAATTATTTACTACTAAACACTTAGGTAATAAATGTTTCTAAGGAAATACTTTTGTTGACATATTCAAGAAAAGTTTCTTGCCAAAGAAACTGTTCTGAGCTTTTGGTAGGCAGTACCACCATTGCCCTTAAACCCATTGCACTCTGGAAGCCATCCTAGAAACACATATAGACTTGATATTTAATTATGTCACATCAAAGTGAGAAAATAAAGAGTCAAAAGGTTCTAGGGGAGAAGATAGGAAAGTGAGTTTCTATAACTTGCAAATTACCCGTGAACATGAAAGTATTTCATGTTTCTCTTCCAGGTACCATCAACTCTTGGGTAGTGATTTTTATTCTGCCTATCAACAGTGCTCTGAACCCAATTCTCTATACTCTGACTACAAGACCATTCAAAGAAATGATCCATCAGTTTTGGTATAACTTCAGGCAACGAAGATCTGTTGACAGCAAAGGAAGTCAGAAAACGTATGCTCCGTCATATTTCTGGGTGGAAATGTGGCCACTGCAGGAGATGCCACCTGAGTTGATGAAGCCGGCTCTTTTCACAGACCCCAGTGAATTGTCCCTGATTTCTCAGTCAACTAGACTCAATTCCTATTCATAACTGCCTCTGGGAACCATTTCTTCCTAGAGAATACTGTGTTATGCTTGCTAATGGTGTTACTGTTATAAAATGAATACCACAAGATGAATAATTTATAAAAATGACTAAAATAAAGTAGCTTATAACATGAAATTATTTAGGAGGAATAAAAGTGGCTGATGCCCATATCGTGAGAAATAAATTATAATGATGTGTATATGCAAGTACATATTTTGCTTAGAAAACTTAGAAAAATGTCCTTAAATCTCACTATACTTTTACTAGGTCTATTTTGTGTCTATTGAGTGTCTATTTTGTGCACAGCATTTTGGTAAATTCCTAGAAGGAGACAGTACAAAGTGTTTTCAATTTGCAGTGCTAAGTTCTATTTAACAGTAACAAAATATATATAACATCCGATTGTAGCTCTTATCTTAAGGTAGGGTTTTGCATATTAGCAAATGTAAAAATAATAGAAATTTCCATACAGCTGTAGGGTTTTCAATGACTCAATATAATAGTATCATATATGTGATGCTGTTTTCAAAATACAGATATTCCTGAAAGCCAAAACAACACATTTATTTCTATTAAAAGAAGATGCTCTAGTGTAAATTTGAAACAGCACTACTCTGTCATTTTCTGCCTACTTGTCTCTTTTGCTTTAGACAAGCACCATCATATAAGATTGGAAAATTTTGAATGAATCAACTAGAATGAAATAGACATTCAAGTAAATGGAATAGAACTGAGAATCAAAAAATAAACCCTCATGTTTACATCACACTCATTTACTTTGTTGGTTTTCAAAAACACATAGAGAAAAAAGACTTTTGGGCAGATAATACTGAAACAACTGGAAATTCGCATGCAAAAGAATAAAGTTATAGCCCTCCCTTGTACGAGATATAGGAATTAGGTCAAAGTGAATCAAGAACTTAAATGTGAGACAAAACTAAGATTAAAAGTAAATTTTTATAGGTAAAGTTTGAAAACTCTTAGAAATAACAACACTATGAACAACAAAAAGTAATTGAATTTCACCTAAAATATTTAAATATGTTTATCAGAAGGGTTTTTTTGTCATTTTGTTTTAAATTTATTTTTTATTGAGGTAGCATTGACTCAAAACGTGCAAGTGTTTATGCTTTAGGGTGTAATGTTATCATACCATATTCAAACCTGATGTATCTGTATTCCTCCACCACAGTCCACTGGACCCTTTTTAGCTGCCCCATGCCACTCCTTGGTAACCTCAATTCTGTGATCAGAATCTTGTTTTCACTGGACTCTTTTTCACTCTTCCAAGAGTGTTATTTTTTTTAAAAGTGAAAACACAACCCATAAAATGCGCTAAACTATCTGCCAGTCGTGTATCTTAGAAGAAAATCTATGGATAACATTACAGGGCTGGAGCGATAGCACAGCGGGTAGGGCGTTTGCCTAACAAGCGGCCAACATGGCCGACCCGAGTTCGATTCCTCCGCCCCTCTCGGAGAGCCTGGCAAGCTACCGAGAGTATTCGATATGCCAGACACAGTAACAACAAAGTCTCCAATGGAGACGTTACTGGGCCCGCTCGAGCAAATCGACGATCAACGGGAGGGCCTTTACCTTTACCTTTACAGACTTAATAGTTGTCGTAAATAAAGAACTCCAATTGCACAACAACTGTCACTGTCACTGTCCTCCCGTTGTTCATCGATTTGCTCCAGTGGGCCCAGTAATGTCTCCGTTGTGAGACTTGCTGTTACTGTGTTTGGCATATTGAATATGCCATGGGTAGCTTGCCAGGCTTTGCCATGAGGGCGAGATACTCTCGGTAGTTTGCCAGGCTCTCAGCGAGGGGTGGAGAAATCGAACCGGGCTCGGCCGAGCCAGCGGCGTGCAAGGCAAATGCCCTATCCGCTGTGCTATCGCTCCAGTCCTGCACAATAGCAAAAATTAAAATTAAAATAGCAATCCAATTTAAAATTGGGCCCAGGTCAGGGACCTAGGATAACACAGTGGGGTTGTGGATGGGGGGATGAGCCTGACTTGTAACTGCGTTTCCCAAGGACCAAGGCTAACAGCACTGCTGTTTGGGGTCCCCACCACCATGACAGATTCTGAACTCTGGCCCACCTGTAGGAAACACAGTTAACGTGTGGAAGCCCAAAGAGAATCACAACTAAAACCTATACAAAAGTGCATCCCCTTGGAACCACAGGAAGCCCTCCCCCATCAAGCATTCAATCACAGCCTGCACAAGCACCACCACAGAACTAAGTGTGACACGGTCTCCCACCCCATCTCACCACCATCTTCAGTATGTGTTTAGACACATGTGACCACCAGCAAGTACCCTGATTGACTATAAAAGCACCACAAACAAGCATGTGTGCAAATTCCAGTCACTGCAGTAACTGCAATGCAGGGAAAGGAAAGGAGAAGTCATAAATTATAGCTGAGAAAAGGCTTTGGACAGCTGTTTTTTTAAAAAAAGATACACAGATGAAGAGGCAAAATATCACAAAGCCCACAATGATAGTACTTCATGCCTACTAAGAGAGCTCTAATAATTTTTAAAAAAAGAAAACAAAAGTTGGTGAGGAATATATTTAAATCTTTCTACATGCTCGTGGGGATATAAAATGATAGAGTCACTGTAGAAATAGTTTGGTGATTTATCAAAAGTTTATCACAGACTAGTGATTTTGCCAACTGGTGATTTCACAGTACTGTGATATTGCTCACACAAAATAATTAGATGAACAAACTCGTAAAAACAAAAAATAGATTACTGGAGAGAAGAAGTTGGGAGGGAAAAGTCTCAAAGACAGTCTTCTCAGTGGGATAATAGTTCTGGAAAAGATTTGATGATTGACAAACAATTATGAGATTATTAAAAGTCATCAAACTGCAGACTCTTACTGTATATTTTTATAATTTAAACTCATTTAAGTTCTGTTTTTATTGACTTATCATGGATTTATATTATGGAATTTGGGTTTAGATTTACAGAAGTTCTATGCTTTTCTACCACCAAAAAAAGGCCTCTATCCATTCTTCCTATTACCCCTCCTCCTTTCCCTCCTGTAACCACCATGAATGAAACCATCCAGTAGTCTTTGACTTCCTTATTTCACTTAGCATAATCACCTAAAGATCAATCTGTTTGTCCAAAAGACATCATGTCATCTTGTTTAGTGTCAAAGCAGTATTCCATTACATACATATACTGCATCTGTTGCATTCATATGTCCATGAGCATTTAGGTTGATTTTAAGATTTTATGATTGTGAATAATTCTTCTATGAACATGAAGATGTGAGTATTAATAGTTTTCATAATCTTAAGATATGTCTGGGCTGGAGCGATAGCACAGCGGGTAGGGCATTTGTCTTGCATGCAGCCCACCCAGGTTCGATTCCTCTGTCCTTCTTGGAGAGCCTGGCAAGCTACCGAGAGTACCCTGCCTGCCTGGCAGAGCCTGGCAAGCTCCCCATGGCATATTCCATATGACAAAAACAGTAACAAAAAGTCTCACAATGGAGACGTTACTGGTGCCCACTCGAGCAAATCGATGAACAGGAGGAGAGTGCTACTCCAAGATATGTCTAAAATATATTGGGTAATATGAAAATAATGTTACTGGCACCCGCTCATGCAAATCGATGAACAAGGGGACAACAAGTGACAAGTGATTAAGTGATGAAAATAAAATGATAGGACTCTGTACTGTTTCCACAATTCCCTCATCTTCATTTGCCATTTATTTTCTCTTTTTGACACAGAAAAAAGAAACATATTCACCAGTGTGAAGTGATGTCACATTGGGGTTTTGATTTGCTTTTCCATAATAAATGATGTCACTTTTTCCTGTACCTATGGCCATGTCTACGGAAGCGTTGAGTTCTTTCAACTGTTTTTTAGCCAAACTACTTGCCTTTTTTGTTGTGTGTATTTATGTTAGGTATTAACTCCTTGCCAGGTGATGTGGTACTATCTTCTCCCAATAGCTGTGCTGAATGTTTGGCTTTGTGATAGCTTCTTTAGCTGTGCAAAAGCTCTATAACTATGGATGAGTCTACCTTAGTTCTTGCTTTTGTCTTCCTAGACAGTGGATTAAGTCTCCAAATGTATCTCTGATACTGAGATTCTGGAGTGTATCCAATTATCTTTTGTGTTTGTTATGGTTTCAAGTTTAATATCAAAGCTTTTAAAGCATTTTGTTAGTTTTGCATATAATGCGATTTTCCTGAAGACACTTTCTTTGTATGGTCTTCGCTCCTTTATTGTAGATTTGATCAGGGCTTCTGAAACATTTTCCACTGAGACCCCTTTGTTCCCAAAAAACATTTTGAAATGACCCAGGGTATATAAAATAAATATATAACAAATCAAACATTTACTGATACAAATTTTAGAAAAGAATTTCACATACACACCACACCTAATTGTGTGACTTCTCCCTCCTCCCCCAATATGGAGTCACAACCCGAAGTTTAAGCAGTTTTGGATTAGATGTCCACATATATGTGGATTTATTTCTAGACTCTTCCAAACCATTAGACTGTGTATTTTATTTCAATGTCATTTAATTATAGTGCTTTGTAATAATGTCCAGTTTCAACTTAGGGAATTGTCTTTTTTATTCTCTTCTCTCAGAATTGCTTTGGCTGAATCAGGAGCCTTGTTGATTATGTACATATTTTGGAATTGTTTCTATTTTTTTTGAAATTCTATATAGTTTGTCCCATTTTCAAAGAATAGGGAAACAGGAGTTACACTGTACCTATAGTTTTAGCTAATATGGCCTTTGAAGTTTTACACTTCCAACCAAGAAAAAAGGTAATTAATTTGCATGAAAGATGATAAATGGTTTTATTCTCTTACAACTATTTTTTTTTGCTGGAGCAATAGCACAGCGGGTAGGGCGTGCGCCTTACAAGCGGCCAACATGGCCGACCCGAGTTCGATTCCTCCGCCCCTCTCGGAGAGCCCGGCAAGCTACCGAGAGTATTCGATATGCCAGACACAGTAACAACAAAGTCTCCAATGGAGACGTTACTGGGCCCGCTCGAGCAAATCGACGATCAACGGGAGGGCCTTTACTTTACTTTACTTTACTTTACAACTATTTATTTCCTATAATTCATTTATTTATATATGTGCAGAAATGTAATAAGGGCTAGAGATAGTACAGCAAGTAGGGCATTTGCCTTGCACACGGCCAACCAGAATTCAATCCCTGGGATCCCGTATGGTTCCCCAAGCATGTCCTGAGTGCAGATGCAGGAACAACCCCTGAGAATTGCAAGGTATGATCCAAAATCCAACAGAAATGTAAAGACTTGTGTGTTGATTTTTGCAATCTGTCACTTTATTAAATGCATTGCTCAGTAGTTTTTTTCAGAGGAGTCAGGATTTTCTATATCAAATAACAGTTTTATTTTCCAATTCGGATCCATTTATTTCTTTTTGTTGCCTAATTGCTCCGATTAGAACATACAAAAATCTTATGTTGAATAATCATAGTGAGAGCGGACATTCTTGTCTTCTACAAGATCTCAAACATATCACCATTGAATATGTTGTGTATTTGTCATAATCTGACCCTTGTGTATTGAGGTATTGATGTATATCTCCCATGAATGTAATGGTATGTGATTTTTACCTAAAATAGCTAAAAGAAAAATATTCCTTAATTCCAGAATGTAAGTTCTGTATTTACATGTTTTAATCTAGAGATACAGTTGTGATTGACTTCTATTTATCTTGTTTGCACAACCAGCAAGTTCATAAAATGCTGACTAGTTATCCTTCTGATATCAAACTAAGCTACTTAAGTTTTCTGCCTTCATACTTTGAAAACTTTGAACAGGAATAAAATGTTTTCAGGTGTTTCAAACACACCAAAGTGAAACAAACATACTGGAATTTTTTAAAAAAATGTTTAAATATATAGTTGTATTGATTGTTTTGAAAGTAAATTACCTGAAAGTAAATTCTATCAAAAACATGTACTGCATTGAATCCTTTCTTTCCTCTCTTGGAATACTACATTTTACAAGAATGCAGTATACTTCCAACAAACTTATAATAATCAACTCTACAGTAATCATAGATGAGGGAGATAATACTTGTCTACAAAAAACATAACCCTACGAAAATGATTTGGCCTTCTGCTTCTCATTCCACGCTTCCATTCTTATAGCTCACCAAAGTCACTTCATTTGAATTTAATTTGGTAAGCAATTGATAATATGCCACATAAGTAGCTCCAGCTAACTTCCCTGGAGGGGCAAATGAAGCATTAAGTTAACTCAGACGTTTTACTGTTACAAATACAATTTGGATCACACTCCAGATCCAACACATTCCCTAAGTCAACCCAAAGCTATTTCTAAGTACAGGTAAAAAAGACCTCAATGTTTAAAAAACAATTTTAGGAGTTTCTAAGTCATTGTGTCAATAGATAAACTCATCCAAAGTAATTATTGACTTTAAAGATCAAGACAATGATAAAGCCGAAAATAAAGAAGAGGGACATATATCTGGAATCATCACGATCAATCATCAATCATCATATTTGCTTTTTTAAACAAGTAAACTAATTCAGAACAGTGACCTACACAGAGATGTTTCTTGTCTAAAGAATAAAATTTTCGCTATTTACTTCATTGTTTTAAACCTTTCTCTAAATCTATAAATTGTTACAATTTCCTTCACTTTCGTTGTTCCAGTAACTACATATAAAGCAATGATTCCCACATTTTTCACCTGTGGCTATGCTTTCCCCTGAACTGATAACTTCTACATACAATTGCCTACTAGATTCTCATTTATTAGAGATTCAGCACAGTGGAAATACATAGATTTTTTAAAAATCATTCATCTTTCAATGTTTGAAATATTTCAGTAAAAACATTTGAATAATAAATCCAAAGAAATAAAAATTATTTTTTTAAAAACAGGAATTTATTTTTTCTACATTTTAAAATATTACCATTTTTACAACACAAAAGTATTTTTTATAAAGAGATAAGCATTTCTTTGGTATAAGAGCACATTTTGTTTCTCTGTAACACGTTATTTTTCTACCACATATAATACAAGAATATGTTATTTTTGACTTTAAAAAATAGGGGCTGGGAAATAGCTCAAAGGACTGGAGTGTGTCTCTCCGGCATGGTATGGTCCCCCAGAGCTGTGGGGAGTAATAGCCCTTAGCACCACTAACCAAGGAACACCAAATCTCCAAACTGAGCACTCAAACTTCAGACCCATACAGTCTGGCTAAGTCCCCACCTCCAAGTCCTTACCCTGTAAAAAAAAACAATAAACAATCAAGAACTATGACCTAAACAAAGTATTTTTTCTTTGCCCATTCATCCTTTTCAGACCCATGTGGTAGGTTTTAGAATACAATCCTGGATATTATAGTATATATGCATACATATATTTATTTATATATATTCCATTACTACAAAGCATTAAGATACCAAACCAATGATACCCACAAGTTATTGAGAATTGATTTAACTCTTGAGGTATGACACAAACTATAAAAGACAGACTGGAGTGGGGAGGAAAGAGGGGAAGACAAAAGAAATATTAAGATACAGGGCATGCAAAATAGAAGCTTTTCATTAAAGTCAAACAATACAAAAACAATCACATCATTTAAATTCAAATGTATTTAAAAAAAGATAACTTGTTTTAGAATTACAAACAACATGCAAAGTTCAAAATAATATCAAGTGGTAATTTTAATAAAATACTTCAAGAAAATATAAAATAACAAACATAAGAAACATTATTTATAAAAACAACTAACAAAAAGTAAACAGGGGGAAACATGCATTCTTTTACAGATAGGATCTCACTTTTTGAAGTTTAAAAATTTTTCAGAAAACATCACAGAAGGGAAAAAAATTCTGTCTTAAAAAACCTACAATCAATTAGGGCAACCATTTTCCTTCAAGTCAAAGTGATTCCGATTCAAATAATTTTTTAGAAAAACTATTAACAATCTCCAAGCTAAAATCACAAAGGAAATAATAGGTTTTAATTGTTGTCAACTTTTATTCAGCAAACATTTCATAAATGTTGTATGACACAATTTTAGGGACAGGAAATCAGCACAATCATTGGTCCAAGTTCAAGAAGCTGGACCCAACAATGGTGAACCTTAAAGTTTCCTCCCTTGGTCAATAAAATAAACTCAGCCTTGAACTTTGCCATTTTTTGGCATCTTCTTGAAAAACGAGCACTGGTCTGCCTATTTTGCTACTGAAAGCATTATGGCACTATCAAGATTAGCTACTGTTGAAGTAACTTTCACAAAGGAGTCTATGGAAGTTTAAAAGAAATTGTGTAAAGATAAAAATGGGCCAATATAAAAAATAATATTTATATTCTTCTTTCACAAAAGTGAAGCAAACCAAAGAAGCATTTTCTTTCTGCATATACAGAACTGCTACAAAAGACTATCCTATAACATGGTGCGTGAGTGCAAATATCTTAAGTGAGGAAACAGGGTCTGTTCCACAGAGAAATCAGTTGTCAGGCTTCAAAGAATCATAGCCTTCTTTCAAAAGGTCCCGCCAGGTTTTAAGGAATCGTGCGTTTTCTGTACATTTGAAGGCAAGTGCGTCAACTTGAGCTGATACTGCAGATGTGGCCTCAACAAGCTTGGTTAACGAAAACGCTGCCTAAAACAAGAAAGAAAAAGTCAAGTAAAAAGGTTTGTTTACATTCTTTTGCCATTTGATAACTAGCAAATCAAATTAAGTTTAAAATAATTTTTAAATCTTAACAAACTGACAAAACTTTAGATATGCTTACAAAGCGAGAAAATGCAAACAGAATCGGAAATGAAAGCAGATACCAAATATCACAAAAGACTACAGAAGTCTACTGTGAAGAACTTAAATGTATTGGAAGAAATAGTTCAATCTTTAGATAAATACAACCTACCAATATTGAATCAGCTGGAATAAATACAACCTACCAATACTGAAACACAGCCTTTCAAAATATGAATCAGCTGATCACATCTGAAAATGAATACATAATCGAAAAACTTCCAAAAAGCAAGTCTTGAAGTAGCCTATCACTGAACTTCATGAAGTCAACTTATCCTGGATATCAAAAGCAGACAATGATGATACCAAAAAGAGAGAGAGAGAGAGAGAGAGAGAGAAAGAAAGAAAGAAAGAAAGAAAGAAAGAAAGAAAGAGAGAGAAGGAAAACTAAAGACCAATATCCCTGATCAAAACAGAACGTTCCTCAACAAACTTAAGGAATCAAATTCAACAATAATCAAAAGGACCGCATATCACCAAGTCATGACAGGTCTATACCTGGCACTTAGGGAAGTTCAACATATACAAATCAATAGCATATGCCCTACCAATAAAAGGAAAGAGCAAAATTTCCTAATATTAATAGATGTGCAGAAAGCATTTGATAAGATTCAGTGCCCGTGGATGATTCTTTAAAAATCTATAGCATGGAGGGTAGAAGGTACATAATCTCAACACAATTAAGGCCACTCACTATAAGCCCACAGTTAATATCATGCTCACTGGCAGAAAACTTTCGTCTTTTATTTTAAAACCAAGAATAAAACTGTTCACAATCACCACTTCTATTTAATTTAGCATTAGGACTCTTAAAAGAATTGAAAAATAAATAAAAGAAAATCTTTGTTAGAAAAGAGCAAAATTATTATTTGAAGGCAATCTATGTAGCATATCCAAAGAATTCTATTAAAAAGTCATGAGAAAGGAGCCAGTGAGACAGTCCAGCAGGCACTTCGCCTTGCACACAGTGGACTGGGCACAACATATGGCCCACAAGACCAACAGGAGTGATCCCTGAGCACAGAGGCAGGAGCAGGTTCTGAGCATTACCAGGTGTGATCCAAAAGACAAAACAAAAATCTAAGAAAAAGCAATATAAGAGAGTAACTGTTTTTTTTAAAAAATCAATAGACAAAAATCTACTGCATTTTCCTACCTAAAATAAGAAACTCTAGAACCAGAGAGATAGTACAAGGGGTAAGACATGCGGTGATTTGCATGCAGCCAGCCCTGGCCCAATCCAGGGCATCACCAGGGGGTACTCCTGAGCACTGAGCCAGGAAGAAAGCGCCCCCTGAGCTCCCTGGGTGTGGCCCACTCCATCCAAGGGAAATGAAAGCAATTAAAACACATGTTCCTGGGACTGGAGCTATAGCACAGCGGGTAGGGCGGTTACCTTGCACCCGGCCAATCAGGGTTCATTTCCCAGCATCCCATATGGTCCCCCCCAGCACTGCCAGGAGTAATTCCTGAGTGCAAAGCCAGGAGTAACCCCTGTGCATCGCCGGGTGTGGCCCAAAAAGAAAAAAAATTTTTAAAAAACTAGAAAAAAAACATGTTCTTAAGAAAGTCTTTAATATGAAGTAGGCTTTAAAGAAATACACCTCCTTGAGAGATAACAAGTATATATGAGAAAAAGACCAGATGGCTTTTATTGTTTTTACTACTACTGAAAATACAAGAGTCTTATTTAGGTCAACAAGTTGACTCGAACACCTTGGCACTAAGTACCAGAAGTATCTGAAGGACTTTACAATGAACTCTGATACTTGGGGAGTAAGAATACCATTCCACAAAGAAAGGAAAGAGAGAAAGAGAGAGAGAGAGAGAAAGATCTGCGAACACTTCAGACCGTGAAAATGTATAGAAAGAAAACAGAGCAAACAACATCAACCATATTAAAAACACACTTATTAACAAAATAGGAGATTAATACCCAAGAATAGCCGAGATCAGTACCAGGAAGATTACTCCATGGCTTAGAGGCCAGCCGGGCATTCTAGGGGAAAGGGCAGCTCAGATAGAGAAGGGAGCACCAAATAAAAGGTGTTGGGAGGATCCTCCCAGGATGGGAGAAGCATGCTGAAAGTAGACTATAGACCAAACATGATTGCCACCCATTGCCTCTTTTGCAAACCACAACACCGAATAAGAGAGAGAGAACAAAAGGGAATGCCCTGACACAGAGGTAAGGTGGGATGGGGGAGATGGGGGGGGGGGAGGGATACTGGGATCAGTGGTAGTGGGAAATGGGCACTGGTGGAGGGATGGGTATTTGATCATTGTATAATTGAAACCCAAGCACAAAAATTTGTAAGTCTACAACTATACCTCATGGTGTTTCACTAATAAAAATTTAAAAAAAAAAACTTATGCGCAGGGAAATACTTCTTAAACGAATGGTTTTTAAACAATGGTATAAAACTGGGATTCTTAGGTAACACATCTGGATTCCAGTGGGATTCAGTCAAAACACAGAGGCTGGATCAGCGCATTAGTCACTGTGTAAGAAAACAAAGTACCTGGGTTGGAGTGATAGCACAGCAGCGGTTGGGAATTTGCATCACTGGGTGTGAACCCCCCCCCAAAAAAAAAAAGAAAAAAGAAAGAAAACAAAGTACTCGGAGATGAAGGGCAGTTGGAGCGCTTACTCCACCGAGGTGGGGGGGGGAGCCCCAGGCTTCATCCCAAGCACAGCGCCCCGCACCCTACCCCACCCGCAACCCAGAGCCAAGGACACGGGAAGACCTGAGCATCTCTGGGTGCAGGAAGGGAGATTTCTGGGGTATTGGGATCCCTGAGATCATCCCCAACGTGCAAGGGGGAGGGCCTCCTCCAGTTTGGGGTGGGGAGGGAGCAGGAGGGATAAAGAGAGAGAGGGGAGGGGAGGGGAGAGAAAAGAGAAAGAAAAAGAGGAAGAGAGGAAAAGAGAAGTGGAGAGAAAGAGGGAGAGAGCAAGCAAGCGAGAAAGAAACAGGGGAAAGGAGAGAAGAGGGAGGTGGAGAGGAGAGAGAAAGAAGTAAGGCGAGAGAAGTGGAGAGGAAAAAATGGGAGGGAAGGAAGGGAAGAGGGAGAGAAGACAGAGAGGGAGGGAGAAAGAGGGAAGTAGAGAGAGAGAGCGAGAGAGCGAGAGCGAGCGAGCGAGCGAGAGAGAGAGAGCGCACAATACAGTTTACCCAGGAGCCGAGACTTGGCACGAACCATCAACTGGTTCTGGAGCCCGAACCTCTGCCCCGCCCACCCCCCCCCAAGCCGTGCGGGGCGCCCCCACCCCTACCCCATCCCCCACCCACCCGGCAGCGGGGCAGCCCGAGGCCGGCCGGGCGGACAATAGCGTTTGCAGCGGCTCGGGGCGGGCGGCCAAGTGGGGCAGAGGCTCCGAGTCGGGGCGGCCGGCACCAGCCCAGCCAGCGCGGGGGATGATCCCGGAAGGCGAGCACGGGGGAGGGGAGCCCCGCTCGGCCGCTCGTCCGTCCACACTAGGGCGGGCGGGAGCGCCAGGCCGGGGAGGGCCCCCCACCTCCCCTCCCCGCCCCCCACGGCCGGCCCCGAGAGACGGGCGGATGCGGTGGCGGCCACTCACGTCTCCGATCCGCATCTCCACTTCTTGCAGCGGGTCCAGCGCGCGGCCTGCGAGCCTGCTCGGCAGCGGCCAGTCCAAACTCCGGGGGACGCCGGGGGACGACCCCGCAGACGCGTCCGAAGACGACGGCGACGAGGGCGGCGAAGACGAAGGCGAAGCAGCCCGCAGCTCCTCGGGGTCGGGGTCGGCCATGGGGCGCCGTCGGGGCGGTGGGATCGCCTCCTCCGCCGCCGAACCGCCACCAACCGCCGTTCAACCGAGCGCGCCCAGCGCCCAGAGGCCCCGCCTCGGCCCTCTCCTTACCGCCGTCTCCCAGCCCGGGCCCAGACGCCCAGAGTTACTTTTTCTCGGGACCGACCAATCAGCTGTGGGTGAACTCAGCTCCCGCTGAGCTTCCCAGCGGGAGCGGGACGCGCGGGCGCGGACTACAACTCCCAGAATGCACGCGGCGCCCTTCCCTCCCCGCCCCGCCTCCAGGCCGCGCGCGCTGCCCCCTGGGATATGTAGTCTTTTCCCTCCTCCCACCCGAAGCCCTGACGCCGGCTTGGGATGGAAAACGCCGGCCCAATCCGCATGCAGAAGCGGCGGGTAGGGCTGGAGACTCGCCCTCTCTGGGCATTTTTCTTTTGTGTGTGTGTGTGTGTGTGTGTGTATTTTTTTTTCTCCCCCACTCCTGAGGGACATGACCCGGAAGCCTCTGCGTGGCGCCGGCGCAGAGCGAAAAAGAGGCGGGAACGCCGTGGAGCCGCAGCGGGTCGCCTCTGAGGAGAGACAAAGTTGGGCTGAGGCTCGGTGCTTCGCGGCGGTGGATGGCGCCCCCCGCGTCCTAGGGGTCCAGCGCCCACGGCGCGCCGCTGCCCTCCCAGGCCTGTCGGCTGGGTCCCGCTCGCAGAGTCCTGACCACGGCCATCATCATGTCGGTGCCCCTGGCCAGGCTGGCCAGCCCGGGTGAGAGGAAACTCCGGACCGGGGAGGGGGACGGGACGGAGAGCGGCGTGCATGGGGGGGGTGAGGGGACGATCGGGGGGTTCGCGCGACTTGAAGCGGGGCCCCTCTTGTGTGTGGGGGCGGGGGGCGCCCCAGCTGCCTCGGGGCTTTTCTTGCAGTCAGCGTTCGCGCCCGAACTGGAGCAAAGGTGGCGCCTGTGGGTGTCCCCTAGCGTCGTCCTCCCGAGCTTGTCCCAGTTGGAAGCATGAACTAGGCGAGAGGTCACGCGCCCGGGGAAGTTGTCAACACCCGCACCCGACGGACTCCTGACCTTGGGCTTTCCCCCAGCCCGGTCCGAGCTGACCCCGATCTCAACGGCCACCCCCGTTGTCCTCTTTCTTACCCCGTGGGGACGGGGGACCTCGGGTCATCTCTGCCCCGCTCGGTACCGACCCTGTCTGTGCCGCAGCCCAGCTAAGGATTTCGCTGTCCGCGCGCCGCCGCCTTCTGGTTAGGAACGTTCCGGTGTTGCTCGAACCCTCGGATGCGAGCAAGAGCCTGGGACGTTCCAGAGTGTCACGCCAAGGCGGGCAGTGGTCGTGGTTGTGTGGGTTCCCGCTTGGGTTCTCCTGGGGGAAAAGACTTCCTTACCTCCACTTTCACTTTTTCTAAAAAGTTAGTTTATGATCTATACGATAAAGTTAGTTTATGATTTAGGCGATAACACAGAATGGACATGTCAATATTGCAGTCCCCAAAAACGGCCTGGGGGGTACGTTTCATCCAAGGAGAATTTTGTCCCATTTGACCGCCATATGTGAAAAAATGGGAGTTTTATTTCAAGTGCCTGCTATTGGTTCCTCTGTTACTGGAGCTGACTCGAGGATAGGCTTTGTTTGGGGGACCCATCAGAATAATCAGATGCTTGCCACCCTGCTGTTTATTGGTTTTTTGGTTTTTTGTTTGTTTGTTTGCTTGCTTGCTTGCTTTTGGGGTCACACCCAGCGATGCACAGGGTTTACTCCTGACTCTGGACTCAGGAGTTACTCCTGGCCATGCTCAGGGGACCATATGGGATGCTGGGAATCGAACCTTGGCCGGCCCGTGCAAGGCAAATGCCCTACCCGCTGTGATGTCTCTCCAGCTCCCACCACCCTACTGTTAGGTTGAAATTATTCTTGGGCCAAGCAGGAATCGAATTTCACGGAAGTGTCCGTTTTCCTTTTCCTTGGAGGTTTAAATCATTGCCATTTTCATAGCCAACCATTTTCTTGGCGTTGGTTAACCAGGCAATGAGTGTGACCTTGCTGTTTGGCGATTTTGAATTCAGTGGGGTTTGCCATCTCATTTTTCTACCAAAATGTAGGTGTTTGAATGTTCAGATCTCTAAAGTGAAGATCGCAAATTTGATTGCAGAAAACAGTGAAGGTCATGACTTCTTTTTAACCCCGTGGAGGAAATGAGAACTACACAGTTCCAAATACAAGAAAATGATGAGTTGTACAGCCAAATTGCAGTTTTGTCCAATTTTGAATCATCACCCAATTACGGGTATAAGAAGAACTATTTAGTGTGTAATGGATAAATACTTATACCTGTACATATAAGAATACATAGGAAAAGAATATTTTAGGAGTATGCCATCCACTAGGGAATATAGATCAAAAATTACCTTTATACCATTTGGGTTATATAGGTGTTTTTTAACTTTCAGTCAGATGATTTTTGTCATACTTAGAAAAACCTCCCCGAGCATATTGTTTGTTAAAGAACTACAATATTTTCCTCACAATCATTTTTCAAAAATGTTAGAGGTTATTCTTCAGTTTAAATAGCTGAGTCCATGTCCCTCTCCAAATGTCCAGGTACTCTGCCTATGAATGACATCACTTGTCCTATCTCTGACATTGCCTTGTCCCATGAAGACTCCCTGTCTCATCCCACACTGTCTGCTCGCCTCCAGGGAATGATGGCCAACTCCCAATCCAGAGTGGCTCTGTCCTTAGTACGCTTTCCTCAGTCTCCGGCCCTGGCTGCATGCACATGGGTGACCCTGTGCTCTGTACCTGTCGCTGGGCCTCCCAGCTGTACCCCAGCAGTTCCTCTGCCCTGTCTGGGCTTTCCTAGTCTCCCACCCTGGCCACATGTGTGGATGAGGCTCCCGTGCTCAGTTTCTAGCCCTGCCTGAAGCTGAGCTTTCCTGGGAATCTGAGCCCCGCCTGGGCCTGTGAGGCTGACTGTGCTCAGGCATCTGGGCTGGCCTGGAGCCCTGCCTTCCCCTGCAGTTTGCGAAGGAGGGAGCTGCCAGGCGCAGCCTGGGAAAAAGAGTCAGAGAGCACCTCACCATCTTTTGAGTGAAACTTTTGTACCTTCTCTTTTTGAATAACAGCTTTGTTGCTGTAGTACTCATATCACAGTTTACACAATTAAAATGTTCAGTTAATGGTTCTTAGTTTATTCACAGGCTGGAGCGATAGCACAGCGGGTAGGACGTTTGCCTTGCAAGCAGCCGACATGGCCGACCCGAGTTCGATTCCTCGGCCCCTCTCGGAGAGCTTGGCAAGCTACCGAGAGTATCCCGCCTGCATGGCAGAGCCTGGCAAGCTCCCCGTGACGTATTCAGTATGCCAAACACAGTAACAAGTGTCACAATTGGGACGTTACTGGGCCCACTCGAGCAAATCAGTGAACAGTGGGAGGACAGTGACAGTGACAGTTTACTCACAGTTGTATGATCATTACCCCGGTCTGGTTTAGAATCACTCTCCAAAAAAAACCCTTCCTCATTTTCAGTAATTCTCCTCCAATTCCCTGATCACTCAGCAGCAATCAGTCTACTCTTGTTTGTAAATTATTCTTGATAATTCATATACATGGAATCACTTTGCATGTGGTAGTTGGGGGCTGACATTCCCAGCCTTAGTGTGTGAGAATTCTGGTCACTGATCTCTTTCACAGATTATAGGCATCCTAGTGGACCTAGAGAAACATCACCACTGGGATTTGGGTTTGCTTTCCCGGATAGTGGTCCCAAGCATCCTTTCATGGCTTATTGGATACTTCCTTTGGAGGAGTGTCTTTGCACATTGTTTTTTTTTTTAATCTTTTTATTATTAGAGATGAGTTCTTTATTCATTCTTGTCACAAGTCTCCTACAAGATAAATGGTTTACAAATACTTAGTTAAATTCCGTGGGCTATCATTTCACTTTCTTGATAGCACAAAGCTTATTTTGTTTGGTTTTCATTTCGTTTTGTTTTGTTTGGGGCTCCCACGTGGTGATCTGGAGTGGTTGCCCGGGAACCACTCCCAACAGTCCTCAGCCTCTTCAACCTGCTGGCCAGAGGCTTCAGTGCTAGGGCCCAGATGTAGAGGTAACAAAGTCCACTTACTGGATTACGGGCATTGATTTTCAGAGACCTCCAAGACTACACCCTCGAGTACTTCTTGTTAAGGGAGTGGCTGGCGCATGTGGCTCTAACTTGAAGTCTGCGTATGCTTTACATGTTTTATAACTGAACCCTGTGCTATCTATCTCCCAGCCCCAAAAGGGTTTGGAGTTTTTGAGCCACACACAGTGATGTTCAGGACCTACTCCAGCCCAAGATTTTAATTGTGTTGAACTACACTTGTCTATTTTTCTCTTTTGTTGGTTGCCGAATTCAAGTTCACAGAGATTCACACATAACTCTTTTCTTAAAGTTTTATATAGTTTTAACTCACATTTGACCCCTTTTAGTTTCTGTGTGGCATCATAACTTGTTATTTTGTAATAATTTTCACCTTACAAAAGAATTGCAAAGTTAATGCAGGTATTTTTATATTCTCAGCCCCTCTTCTAACATTGCTATAGTATAAGTAATGAAACTTAAAAGTTTTTAATATATGTCCAATATTATTAATTAAATTGTATATCATATTTAGGGTTCTTTCTTCATTCCAGGATACAGTCCAAAGCACTACATTATTTTTAGTTGCCACATATCCTTCGTCTACTTCAATGGGACATGTCTTTGCTTGTCTCTTATGACCTTGATACTTTCAGTGTGTATTGCCAAGGTACTTTCTAGAAATCTCTCTATATGAGTTTTATAATGTCTTATTGTTAGACTGAGATTATTGATGTTGGGGAAATATGTCACAGATATATCATCATATTCAGGGAGTATGTGATTTGATCATATCTTTCTGCTGCTAATGTTAAATCTGATCAGATAAGAGTTTCTGCCATATTTCTCCAGTGTGAAATAATGTCTTTCCCTTCTCATGTTGGAAGCTAGTCTGAAGCTTAGAGGGCAGTATCTAAAGCGAATCTCAGTTCTGGGCTGGAAAGATAGTACCAGGAGTAAGA